AATGATTTTTTAGAATATTTTAATTACTTTTTGAATGCTGCTAATTACTCTCGCCAATTTTCATGGGTTTTCGAGGTCATTTTTGGTGCTGTGTATTATTCTTGGATGTACTTAAAATGGTTAGCACATTAAATTTTAGGTTCAGAGAGAAAACGTATTTTTGGCCAAAAATCCTTTAAGGCTTTAGACTTACAATTTTGTCAGTTTTCAATAAAAATGGATTTTGTTCAAAATTTCAGTATAGGTACTCCTGAATGTGCTGCTTAAGGATCTGTTAACCAAAATTTGATATCTTGATTATAACTTGTTCAAATGGGTTTTAGAAAATGTTCAAATGATTTTTAGAATATTTTAATTACTTTTGCAATGCTAATTACTCGCCACTTATGGGTTTTCGAGGTCATTTCTTGGTGCTTGTGTATTATTCTGGATGTACTTAAATAGTTAGGCACATTAAATTTTAGTTCAGAGAGAAAACGTAGGCTTTAGACTTACAATTTTCGTCATTTCGGCCAAAAAATGGATTTTGTTCAAAATTTCAGTATAGGTACTCCTGAATGTGCTGCTTCAGGATCTGTTAACCAAAATTTGATATCTTGATTATAATTTGTTCAAATGGCTTTTAGAAAATGTTCAAATGATTTTTAGAATATTTTAATTACTTTTGCAATACTAATTACTCGCCACTTATGGGTTTTCGAGGTCATTTCTTGGTGCTTGTGTATTATTCTGGATGTACTTAAATAGTTAGGCACATTAAATTTTAGTTCAGAGAGAAAACGTATTTTGGCCAAAAATCCTTTAAGGCTTTTAGACTTACAATTTTTGTCATTTTCGGCCAAAAAATGGATTTTGTTCAAAATTTCAGTATAGGTACTCCTGAATGTGCTGCTTAAGGATCTGTTAACCAAAATTTGATATCTTGATTATAACTTGTTCAAATGGCTTTTAGAAAATGTTCAAATGATTTTTAGAATATTTTAATTACTTTTGCAATGCTAATTACTCGCCACTTATGGTTTTTCGAGGTCATTTCTTGGTGCTTGTGTATTATTCTGGATGTACTTAAATAGTTAGGCACATTAAATTTTAGTTCAGAGAGGAAACGTATTTTTGGCCAAAAATCCTTTAAAGGCTTTAGACTTACAATTTTTGTCATTTTCGGCCAAAAATGGATTTTGTTCAAAATTTCTATTATGGAAGTACTCCTAGATATTGCTTAAGGATCTGTTAACCAAAATTTGATATCTTGATTATAACTTGTTCAAATAGCTTTTAGAAAATGTTCAAATGATTTTTAGAATATTTTAATTCCTTTTGCAATGCTAATTACTCGCCACTTGTGGGTTTTCGAGGTCATTTCTTGGTGCTTGTGTATTATTCTGGATGTACTTAAATAGTTAGGCACATTAATTTTTAGTTCAGAGAAAAAAATTATTTTGGCCAAAAATCCTTTAAGGCTTTAGACTTACAATTTTTGTCATTTCGGCCAAAAAATGGATTTTGTTCAAAATTTCAGTATAGGTACTCCTGAATGTGCTGCTTAAGGATCTGTTAACCAAAATTTGATATCTTGATTATAACTTGTTCAAATGGCTTTTAGAAAATGTTCAAATGATTTTTAGAATATTTTAATTACTTTTGCAATGCTAATTACTCGCCACTTATGGGTTTTCGAGGTCATTTCTTGGTGCTTGTGTATTATTCTGGATGTACTTAAATAGTTGGGCACATTAAATTTTAGTTCAGAGAGAAAAAGTATTTTTGGCCAAAAATTCTGTAAGGGGTAAACCTTACAATTTTTGGCATTTCGTCCACAAATGGATTTTGTTCAAAATTTCAGTATAGGTACTCCTGAATGTGCTGCTTAAGGATCTGTTAACCAAAATTTGATATCTTGATTATAACTTGTTCAAATGGCTTTTAGAAAATGTTCAAATGATTTTTAGAATATTTTAATTACTTTTGCAATGCTAATTACTCGCCACTTATGGGTTTTCGAGGTCATTTCTTGGTGCTTGTGTATTATTCTGGATGTACTTAAATAGTTAGGCACATTAAATTTTAGTTCAGAGAGAAAACGTATTTTTGGCCAAAAATCCTTTAAGGCTTTAGACTTACAATTTTTGTCATTTTCGGCCAAAAAATGGATTTTGTTCAAAATTTCAGTATAGGTACTCCTGAATGTGCTGCTTAAGGATCTGTTAACCAAAATTTGATATCTTGATTATAACTTGTTCAAATGGCTTTTAGAAAATGTTCAAATGATTTTTAGATTATTTTAATTACTTTTGCAATGCTAATTACTCGCCACTTATGGGTTTTTGAGGTCATTTCTTGGTGCTTGTGTATTATTCTGGATGTACTTAAATACTTAAGCACATTAAATTTTAGTTCAGAGAGAAAAAGTATTTTTGGCCAAAAATCCTTTAAGGCTTTAGACTTACAATTTTTGTCATTTCGGCCAAAAAATGGATTTTGTTCAAAATTTCAGTATAGGTACTCCTGAATGTGCTGCTTAAGGATCTGTTAACCAAAATTTGATATCTTGATTATAACTTGTTCAAATGGCTTTTAGAAAATGTTCAAATGATTTTTAGAATATTTTAATTACTTTTGCAATGCTAATTACTCGCCACTTATGGGTTTTCGAGGTCATTTCTTGGTGCTTGTGTATTATTCTGGATGTACTTAAATAGTTAGGCACATTAAATTTTAGTTCAGAGAGAAAACGTATTTTTGGCCAAAAATCCTTTAAGGCTTTAGACTTACAATTTTTGTCATTTTCGGCCAAAAAATGGATTTTGTTCAAAATTTCAGTATAGGTACTCCTGAATGTGCTGCTTAAGGATCAGTTAACCAAAATTTGATATCTTGATTATAACTTGTTCAAATGGTAAAGAAGAGACTATCGTCCAAAATTATAGTGCTATACTGTGCCTGCTACAATAAATTCATAATAATGCTTATAAAATGGAAATAAATTCTTTTAATAATTTAAGAAAATTAGTGGGATCAGTGGAATCACTGCAATGAATATGCCTGTGTTCATATATTTGTTCTTAGGAACAGAATAGCTTCAGTCGGAGTCGGAGTCGGAGTCTGGACAATTTTACCGACTCCGACTCCCACTCCACAAGCCGAAATTTCCTCCGACTCCTCGACTCCGACTCCACAGCCCTGGTTCTATACGAGTATATCATTTAGTAGAGTACAGTACGTGTGTACCAACTACTGTACCAAATGATGTACAGGTATATATCTTTTTCTTCAATTTACTGATGTGAATATCTATTTACATAGGAAGTGTTTATTAAATTTGCATAAGTTTGAATGTCAGCATTTTCCTTCCTCAGAGGAGTTACGGAATATTGGAGACAGTCGCAACATGGCGGGTAGTTTGGCCACTTTTAGTCGCGAACACTTGGTTGTACTCGAACACTTGGTTGTACTTGAGTGGTGACTGCTACTTAAGTGATAAAGGCAGAGGTTGGGTGAACCTGCTTGGTACCCCCAATACACTTAACCTGTACAGCAGTTTTGTAAATCTTATCCCCGCACCTCCTACTGCCTTTCTTTGTGATAAATACTATGTGTTGTTTCAGCCTCAACACATGGGGGACCTCTTAAGTATTTCGTTTTCATTTATGAGGATGCATATTCTTTATTGTGTGTCATTCATGGACATGATTATGAAGAAAAGGTTGATGTTTTGTATACGCAGCTGTTTGTATACTAAGATTGGGCCCTATTTGAGAGACGTGCCAATTCACTTGTGAGTTGGGGGCCATCATCACATCCTACCTACACTGGGGGGGGGGGGCAGACACAAGGGCCAATCCGAATATGGGTGTTTGGTGATGCAATATAATAAACTAGAGACTCACTTACGTGTCACGTATGTGCGCAAAATAGACATTAGAAGAAATATCTCTACAGCTTTTTGTAACATTACATAAAGAGAACCGGAATTGAGGGATTCATTACACTCTTAGAACCAGAGTTTTTGCCCAGGGTATAACTTGCACTCAAATCCTCTACTCTCTTTATTCTCACTTCCGGCATTTCCTCTCATCAGATCCACTTCCCGTGTCCTCATTGTTGAGGTTTAAATCTTGAGGATGCGATAAAGGTAGAAATATTGTAAAAGACATTCCGTGAACGATACTTTTAAAGGGTGTAACGCAATATCTAATCAGTTCCAAGACTTATTTCAAATTTGTATACAATACTGTAATTGTACTACCGCAGTAATTTTCCCAGAACAAACTGTTTAGTTAATATAGTTTCACTCTAGTTCTGATGCCATTTTAGCTACTGTCTTACGTGTTTTAGCTTAAGAGATGCTTTCTCACAGCACCTCCACTTAGGGGAAATAATCGTTGTACGAGTATTTGAGAACCTGGTCCTAGATCTGATTCCTCTCTGCTCATTGCCTGTGTTAAATCTTGTGAACCCAAGTAAAGGAAAAAAGAGATTCCCAGAGACGAACTTTCACTGTACCCGGAAATTAGCTCATTAAATGGGGTAAAAAGATTTCGCAGACAAACCTGTAAAGGGTTCAACTAACTATAGTCAGTGCCATAGCTGGTTCTCTTCCGCGTCTGTTCCAAAAAAGATATAACAATTTGCCGTGAAGGATACTATTTAATGGTCATGCTGGGTGTCTCTTCACTACCAGATGAGTTATGATCAGTGCTTGAAGGTAGTGTTCGTCCCTTTTATTGTGGTGTCCATCGTGGTGATCACTCTACCCCTGGTGCTCCACTGCCTCCACCACTGGCGCTAACACCATCCTCATCACTCCACAGCCTGGCACAGCCTCCGTCACTGACATTAACACCGCCATGATCACTTCATCCACTACTGGCACTAACACAATGCTTCATTAAGTTACTCTCTCCTGTTACTGAACTTGTACTGTACTCAGTTATGTAAGAAACAGCAGGAACTTGATGAAAATTTTTGAAAACTTATGCTTTTTTTTTTTTACATCATAGCATCATGTTGTGAAGGTACAAAAACTGAGTGCATCAGTTCTCAAGTGATATTGTGTTATCTTGTTATAAGACTGTGTGGTGCTCATACGAAAGTCATGAGAACTAGACTGTGACGGTGGACAGGTGTTAACTAGTGAACATCGTAGCTTAAAACCTGTAACAATGACTATGCTGTATGCCCAGCGGGGAGGCTGCCGTACCATAAGTAGCTACCAGACCCTGGAGGAAGATGACTCTTCTCCTAACTACCACCACCTCTTGTCCACCCACCGCCACCTCTCGCCCGAGACCAAGTCCACAAAACACTATGTCAGGAGGTCTGACTTGCTCTTCTGTGTTTACTTCCCACTCTACTGGTGTTACCTCTTCCTTGGTGCTGCCCTCTTCTCAAAGATCGAGGGACCCTTCGAGCAATCTTATATACTCAGTCTGAGACGAATGCGAGCTATCTTCCTGAAGAAGCATTCCTGCGTGTCAGGTAAATTGTCTCTTCCATGTTTCCTCGTCGAGTGTGCGTCTTGAGATCCTCAAATGTTTTGGAGAATGCATTCCATTTTATTAGTAAATATTTATATTTTTTCAATGATTTCATTTTTGGTTTTGAGGAGAGCTCTGTATTTTATTTTACAGTGGTAAATTACTGGTCATTGTACAATTCACTTAGAAACAAGTAAAGAACAGCTAGTCCCTTGAAGCCTTGAGGGTTAGGTAAACTGTGGTTCATCCTAGTTGGGTGTGGCCATAAGCTGTGTAACCTAGCGGGGTACCATATTTTAAAGATCAGAGTACAGTAACGATATACTATACAAGACATGTCATATCTAAATGAATGAATGGACATATGACTTAACATTGGTGTAAATAAGAATCGGCCAGTTTTGGGTAGTTTTGTAGCTATTACTTATACTTTATTATGTATACAGATTTGGACATTTCTCAGTGAGTTTGGCTCGTGAGTCAAGGATAAGACGACAGATACAGACAGATATGAGTAAGTCTTGGGGAAGCTGTCTAAATGATGGAGGGTGTGGTGAGGTACTGTACTTAAGCTGGCATGAACTAAAAGCAGTGCACTGCCAATTTAAACACTTGAACCTCACTAGAATGATCTTAGTTGCTGAGGCCTCTTTCAAAATCCTGGTGGTACTGTACAACGATAGCGTGCTTGTCTCTTACTACTGCATCACGGGTTCAGTCTTAAGTCAAATGCAAGAAAGGTGTAAACACATGTGATCGAACCATCCATGGCAATTCGTCAGGAACAGGGGGGGGTAAACAGACCACTGGCTCTCTTCTGCGTTCAAGTGATAAGTTTAATTTAAAAAACACTTGCCCATATCTCTCTCTCTCTCTCTCTCTATTTCATATTCACCGTTAACCGTAATACAGTACATGTACATTATACGAACACTGACCAAGGAAATCACAGTTTACTATGATTAACTGAAAATTTAAAGAAATTTATACTGTGCAAACTTTCCAAAAATATTGAAACTTTAGCTGAAATAAAAACATTATACAGCTGTAGATCTCAACGGTTTCTCTTTGCTGCTGTCTACCAACTAGTCAACCAATAACAACCAAAGTTTGTATCTAGACATTGATACAAAAATTATTGATACCTGAGCTTGTGTTATGACGTCCTTCTCCTTTGACAGACTCGGACCTCGAGGACCTGATAGTGGAGATCATCAATGCTAACAACCGGGGTGTGTCGGCCGCCAAGAACGTCACCAGCGAACCTAACTGGTCATTTGGTCAGAGTTTCTTCTTCTCCAGCACCATTGTCACCACTATAGGTAATATCTTCACTCTCCGGTACCATTGTCGCTAATCAACAACAACAAAATTTTCGGGATTTTCCTTGCTTGCCTCCTGATTACCCTATGGCAACTCTTCAGGCTGTTCAATCTTTTGCAAACACAATAGTCATTTCTCATAACCTCTCTCCATGTCATTCTTGGCCTACCCCTAACTCCCCTCCCCACCATACTCAAATGTATGCATCTCTTGACCCAGTTGTTCTCCATTTTCTCCACATACACATACAGCACATTTAAAGTCGGCAACTTCATGCAGTCTGTAATTTACACTGCTGGTGTAATCACCGTCCACACTCGCTACATATTAATGAATTATTACCAACATCTTTCTCGTTTTCTCTTTTCCACCACATGACAGTTTTGACATATTCACTCATACCCGTTGACTACAGGGTCGGGTTAAGAGCTTGTGGGGGGGGCCCCAGGGCGAGCAACTTCCGGGGTCTCTTACCACTAAAACTCCATGACAGTATTCAATTTCAATTTCAATTGTTTATTCCTTGATAGAGGAAGCGGGATCCTAGTGCTGTCACTAGGTACCCCTGTACAATGACACCAGAAGCATCTGGCAAGTGTGACAAGTATATACAATATAAATATTATAAAGGGGCTTACTAAAGCCAAAGGAAGGAAGGATATTCCTTTAACACATAATCAATATTATTTACAAAATATCTGGCCAGTATGGGGAGGATCATCGTGTCTCCATCAGGGGGTCGTGGAGTGGTGGTCCAGCAGGCGTCATGGAAGCGTTGTGTGTGGGGACATCTTAGGAGGTAGTGGATAAGGGTGCTGCTGTCGGGTCTTCTGCATAATGCACAAGAGCGTCGCTCAGGGGATGCAGGGATACCACTCTCCCAAGCAAAGTCACATTACAGTATTAAATTACATACTGCACTGACTTTATGATGTCTTTTGGTTTTGTTAGATTCCTCTTTTTATTATTCAGTGCATGTGTTATTAATATACTGTATATAAAAATAAATGAAGTACAGTACCACAATTACCCTGTAGTTGGAGACAAAAGAAAAAATCTAAAAATTATTATGGACAAAGTTGAGGGTAGGAAGGCCAGGGGAAGGCAGAGACTAAGATGAATGACATACAAAACCGTGGAGGTTTGATAAAAACAACCTGAGAATGTTTAGAGTGGAGGACTGTGGTCACCAAACCTCAGATATGAAGACGGGACTCTGATTGATTGACTGATTGATTGAGTGTCAACACACGTCACTTCTGATCATGGATTACTTAAGCGATGGATTGACGGTGTGGAAGGGATTTGAACAGCGGGTGGATAATTGCAGAGACATGTGCAAACCTGTACATTAGGTAGCTTTACTTACTTTTATCCTCTTCACCACTGATCGGCTCGTTAGCCGCTTGGGCGATCGGTCACGTCACTGTTACGCACTGTTGGCAAGTACTGGTCATGCACCGACTCCTGAATATACCTGAACCTGCTCCGGTGTTGGTCAAGTCTGGTCTTGAAAGAGCTCACACTGGTCAGTTAGTGGAAATTTGTAGAAGTTCTCAGGCATGAACTTTCTCCAGTCCTGCTGCTCTTGGCAAAACCTGGGGGTGAAATTAGTTCTACACCAAAGGCAGAGCTGATCAACATCTTGTTGGTTATAATTAAGATCCCTTTAGAAGTTCAAGATACAGATATGAAGACATGCATCCTGATCGATGGACACAACCTCATTCAAGCTCTGGGAAAGCCTGACGGATGTCATACATTTGGTGACTATGCTGTTGTCTTCTAGTGATCAGTGACAGGTCACTTTGGGGAACACACAACCAGGGTGAACATTGTGTTTGACCACTATAATGGAGTTCACTCTAAAAAGGCAGCTATAAGAAACTCACTGATGGACTGCACATCCCACTCCCACAGGTCTGGAGCCATTTTGTTTCAATGAATAAGAGAGAATAAGGCCAGCCTTGCACGCTTTCTCTCGGAACCCTCATGGAAGGTGGCTTCACTGATGTGAAAGATGCAAGGTCAACCATGCAAGAAGACATCAGACTCCACGGAACTCCTGTGGATGCAGATACAAAGCTAATCCTACATGCATACAAGGCAGCCACTTCTGATGCTCTTGCAACTGAGCAGACTTCAGCATCCCCACTGGCACTGATCATGTCAGCCAGATAATAGAACTCATAGACACAGTCCGGGGACACACCCCCAAAGTTGAGTTTCTCCACCTTTGCAGTGGGCACAGGTTACCTTAAAGTCAGCAACATCCTGCAGTCTACCATCTTAACAGTAAAAGTAGTGTAGTTGCCCACCTTCCACCCTCATTAACACATTCAAGAGCTAGCTCTCGAACGTGTTCATCTAGCACCCGAACAACTAAGAAAAACAGATGAATATGGTGAAATACTGTTCTGTACCCTTCTAGGTATGGATGCCATGTCAGTTTGAAAATATGAGTAAATAGAGTGGGTCGAGTTGGATTTTTGGGGAGGGTAAGAAATTAACAGTATTTGCCCGTGTACTAGACACCCTCACTTGTGCCACTGCCTATTAGTAAGGTTATTTTTGCTGTGCAGTACAACATATTTATGCTAACCTAAATCTTTCAGGATATTTGGGGAATGTAACATGAAAAATGTTTTATTTTTTGTTTTTACAGTGTTCCCAAGATTAACTTTGTCATTTCAAAAGAAATTATTAAAAGATTGATTACTTTGACACCCCAGTTTATCTTCTTGCTTCCATTCATAACTTTCACTATAATGTACTGTATTGTCAGGTTATGGTCATGTCCACCCATTGTCTGAAGGTGGGAAGATCTTCTGCATTATATATGCTGTAATCGGAATCCCCATGACATTCATCCTGCTGACGGCAATAGTGGAGCGGTTGCTTATCCCCACCACCTGGCTCCTCTACTGGCTCAACTCTAAACTTGGCCACCTTTACCAGGTACAGTCATTACACTCGAGCATATGTATTTTTCATGGTGTGTTTTTAAGGTTAGCAGTTAATAGTAAAGCATTGTGTAAATAGATTTCCTATGTGTTAAGCAAAGACAACTGTCAGACTTCAGAATTGTCTTATAACCTTCAGGCTTGTTATGGCCTGTATTTATGTCTGTAAGATACATCAACCGGTACATTTAATGACTATATATTAAAAAGAGAAGAAAAGTCATGGAAACATTCAACCTTATTTATACTGTACAATATTCTGTACAGGACTTCATTCACATTTAATGCGATTAATTTTAATTTTCATCATAACCTTCAACGTATAAATACTGTACTGTACTGTATTGTATAACTTTTGGTGACAAGGGAGAATGCTTCAGAAATTCTTTCCTCTCAAATGAAGAGTGATGAAAGAGTAGTAAATGTTTTCTAATTCAATACTGCAGAATACCTTTTTCCACCAACAAATTTTTATGGTATCCACATTACTGTACTGTTGTCTTGACTTTTTCACTCCATAACCATCTTCTTGAGTTTCCACGCAGTAATGAACAAATATTGCAGTGGTATTCTGCCCTTTAAAAGAAACAGCCTGTTGTTGATCTTGAGGTCACCGACTTAAAATGTCAATGTTTTGCTAACAAAAAAAATATATATTATATAATTTTTAAGCCATAATTTAAATATCCATGGACTGAAGGAATTGCAAAGATACCTTTACTCAACTGAGAGGAAATCCCCAGTTGATATAAGCTAATGGCTAACCTATACAAGTGTGGAAAATATCTATGCAGGTATACCTTGATGAGGATATTAGGGTCACTTGATCATGTGTCAGAATTATTGATGTGTTGCTAGCCAAGAGGTTTTCAACATATATTTCCATAACAACCAATAAATGGTATGTTATTTTATTATACATACCGTAGGTCCATGCCAATTGAAATGGGGTGAACCAAGGGCATATAGAGTTTCAAAATCTTAATTTACAGTGACATATCTGGCCAGTGAAGATTGTATGTGTACAGTACTCTTAGTTATATTTAAAATACCCGGTAGTGTATGTCAGTACATTTTACATTGCAGCCATTCAACATTCGAGTGTTTCATCTAACAATCATTGGAGTGATTGCCTTCGTCATCTTCATGGTCTTCCCATCACTCATTTTTGCCAAGCTCGAGCCTGGATGGGACTTCCTAGACTCTCTTTACTACTGCTTTATCTCCCTCACGACCATTGGTCTAGGGGACTACATTCCTGGAGATGCTCGAGAACAACCTTTGAGGCCACTCTACAAAGTTTGCATCACAGGTAAATATTACTGTACATGTTCATTGATGCAGTTTCTTAGTTGCAGACTTTGTACAGTACAGTATTACCAAATTTCCAAAAGGGCGAATTTCCATAACCCGGAATTCTGTATTGCGGGGGATGCCTGTACTGTACTTTAATTTTGATAACAATTTATTTTAATTCATCATTTCTTAGGGAAAAAAAAGATAGGTAAGTGTGATAGAAATGCCATATAGCCAATGTCTAAGATTTACTGTGCTACTTCAGGTTATCTACTGATGGGTTTGACCTTTGTCATGCTTCTGTTACACCTCTACAACGACATCCCTCAATTAAACTTGGGACTCTTCCTCCTACGTGGCTCTGACACTGCTCTTGGGGATCCTGAGCGCATGAGACTGAGTGGCACAGGGGGCGTTGCACCTAAATATACACAGGTAAGGACCCATATACAATAACAGAAGATCTACCTTCATAACCAGTCACTGAACTATGTACCACACATTTAAATATAAACTGGTTTCCTGTAGAGAAATAATGTTAAATCAATCAGAGCATGTTCACTATACTGTACATGTTTATCTTAATCCATTGTGCTATAATTCTTAATTAAACAGGATATGTATACTCGCTCCAAAAAGTAACTTTACAGAATGGTCCAGTGAATTTCAAAACAAACACCACAATTCCTACTGTCTCGGTAGGGTTGTCAAAATCCTTCGTCTATTGTGTCATATTTTTTCACACAAAATCGTAAAGATACTTTCTGAAGTGAGTGTACTGATCCTCGCCATTTACTCCTTGCATAAATCTGTACTTTCCTCCATATTCACATCCTCTTACCCAAGTACAGTACTGTACAGTGGCCTCGTGAGTTACATGCAGCTTGAGTTCTGTGATTCTCGAATTTCAAGTAAACCCCTAAATTCCCCACCTCGAATTCAATAAAATATATTCCACTTAAGTTAGAACCCCCCCCCCCTTTTTTTTTTACCAAAATATCCCTGAATATTTTATCTTAAAGTTTGGTAAAATAAATATATTAAAAAAATCATTGATACAAGCCTTCAATGAAAGTTATTTTTAGGGTGCCAGTCCATGAGCAAAAATATTTACAGTGAGCTGAAAAGAATATAAACTTTTTTTCATATGTTCTAATTGTGTAAGAAAGATGAATGTGATAACATAATGATCCTGAATAAATTATCTACAAGTTTGTTCATATAAAAGATCCTTAAACAAAATATTTTTACACAATATAATGATGGGGACTAAATTCTTTTATGAAAAAAAGTTGATAGGTACTGGAGTTTATAAAACCAGTTCTAATTAAGTAAGAAACACCATGTACAGTACAGTAAATATGATTTAAGATGTAATAATTTTTTTGCAACATATACTGTACATCAATATTCAGTAACCATTCAGAAATTGTTTATGCTGCATTATCCATGAGAAATAAGAAGCATTAACTGTGAATTATATTGTAATTTATGAAACAGTAACCAGTGCTGTACAGTACCACTATAAAAAGTTATGGTTTCGGCCGATTATTTTACCAAAGTTCCAATTGGAACCGGGGCATCATAAAAATCGAGGTTCCGGTGCATCCCTACAGTACATGCCCAGTACTTGCCAACAGTGTTTAACAGACATGTGACCAACTGCCCAAGCAGCAAACGAGCCGATCATTGGCGAAGAGGATAAAAGTAAAAGTATGACCTGAAGATGTCTTGAATAAAGATGAAAGCTAAGGTTCTCCATTGTTTCCCACTTACTGATTGTATAGTACAGTGCAGGAATACCTCGCTATTCGTAACCCCGCTTATCCACAGTTGATATTTTAATACCATAATTTGATATTTGTAAAGCATACCCCGCTTATTTGCAAATGAAAAAATACGATACCTTACAGTAATATTTGAAACCGGACGGGCTAGCTTTAGCTCTCATATTCCAACATAAGGCCCACTTCACACAGGAGCATTTATTATCCCACGTATACAGTCCTGCATAGTGTAGAAATTAATGAAGTTCAATGGGACGGAGAATACGGGTGATAATTCGTGCGTGGGAGATGCTCACCCCAAACCTGTATCTGTTCTGCTAAACTGTGTTCTAGAATTCTTCATATAACAAGCATGTTTTCCCCACATGTCAGTTGTGGTGCATCTATGTTAAGGGCTGGAAGTGCCTTTGATTATGTTTAAAGCAAATAGAGGGAAAATAAAGGTAAATTGACAGTCTTGCACATTAATATAGGACTTAAGAGTACAGTATAAGTAAGATGGCTAGATCAAGGTAAACATGTGATTGCAATGAAGAAGTGTCATGTTTGATAATATTAAAATAATTATTTTGGATAGTATAAAGTGGGGGTGGTTTCTAGTGTTAGTATCATAATGTATAAACCTGATGCTTTAACTTGGTTTACAGAGAGAAGTTGTTATAAAGCATAACATGACCCCATTTTACTGATTTACTGTGTATGCTTTAGGTGTACTTTAAGTTGACAATATGAAATGTATGTACTGTATATGTAACCATTTCATCAAATCTTTATTTTTCTCTTCCATCTATGGTAAAGGAGAAAAATTATCCACAGGTCAACAGAATAGCTTTCATACAAATAAAAATACAGATAAACTTCTTACTTCTAATAGTAGAGCTGTAGTTACAGGAGATCCGTATCAAAAATGTCAAGACATTAATGTGATTGCTGTATCCCCCCTATGAAAGGGTATTGCATGCATCCACTACATGTGTTAAATATTCTACAGCACAACGATCAACCTGTCCGCCAGAATGTGAAGGTGGTCTCTAGGCCTGTAGATTCTCCAAGTCCCGAGGAAGATACCACTCCCGTCCATGCACAGATGCCTCCAATTATTCCAGCAAACCAGTAAATTGCACAAGTTTTTATGTTAATTTAAAAAGAGAACAGTTTAGCTCTTCTTTGCCGACAACTAAAATACGATACAGTACCGGTAATAAACTCCATTGGCTTCCATTGCTCCTAAAAAGAAAATATCATTGCTGATGTTTGATTCATTCTTTGCTGCAAGGTTAGAATATGAGCGTTATTGACAGTGATGTTACAGATCGATAAATCTTTACATTTAGTTCTATATTTTAAAGGTATTATGCAAGTGTTGCAGCTTTATTAATAAAGATGTCACAGACTGAGACAGCTTTTAGGTTTATTTTCCTTTCATGTTGCAATGTTAATTGAAAATTTCTTGCAATAAATGTGTATAAAAAATAAAAAGAAAGCTGCTAATTAAATAGGTTATACTATTGTTATGCACAGACTAGACTATTTTTTTAAGTTTACAACCGAGTCACAGGAAAGTGAAATCATTATTTGTCTATTTGCTCGTCCTTAAAAAACAAAAAACAAAAAAAAATAATGACTCTACCCATTATTAATTGTCTATTTTACACAAACCTTTAGGGGAACTTTAAACTAGGTACGAATACTATTAATTGTTATGTAGAGGATATTTTTCCTTACATTACTCAAATACTGTATATTACATACAGCACAGTGGTTTCCAACAATATCCTCACTGCTTTAAAGAAAATTTAAGGAAGCATTCAAGTAGATAGTAATACTATTAATTGTTATGCAGAGGCTAAAAATGTTTTTCCATACTCAAGTGAGTTAGCAAAATGCCTCTGTCTTTTGAACTAAAAAGTTGCAGTGGTTCTCTTACCTTCACCTCTTGAATTGATACTGTTAGATGTAATTTTTCATTTAATCCTGTTGAACTTTGTGTGCCATAATGGATATCTAAGGTGCATCTCTGTGTGTTTGAAGCCAAGGTCTGGCCCTTAATATTGAACTGAAATAATTGCTGATAGCAGGCCATCCACTTTAACATCTGCAAATATGTCGGCAGAATATGTTTACAGCTTCAGATATTATTGAGTTCCAACTTAGACATACAAGGTACACACACCTAAGTATTATCCACCAACAATATCATAGTTTGCTGTTGCATTGGAAATTCTGTGTTGTCTGGGAAATTATCAGAACAATATCAAATGGTAAACTGTGAAATAAATATAGAATAGATTATTGTATTTGTACATGTTTGTCTTGTCTTTGAACACTACATATGTCTGTTACTGAAGGAAATGTTATCAGTTGTGGAGGTTTAAATTGTGTATGTGGGATTTGTAATGGATTGTATGAGTCTTGTGAATCAGTAGTTGTATAAACTCTTTCCCAATTATATTTTTTACCAGTACAGTAATTATTTATCAGACTGTCCAATTTGTTTGTGTTAACTGAGGCCTGGAAATGTTTGAGGTGTTTGCTGCATATATTTTTAAAGTCGATTTAATATACACTATATATTGATGAGCAGAGTAAATTATTCATGTTTCAAATATCAAGCATTCAAATTACAACTTCAACATGCACCTGTTCATATTCATGTTATGTAATTATATAAAAAATACAGTACTTATAGAATTGAGAATACGAATGGGCACTATCATTTATAAACAATTGTAACTAGTCAATATGTAAGGTACTATAAGACAAGATTACTTATTTCTAAAAGTTGAAATCAGTGCTTTGCATCTTACCTTTCTTTCTAAGAAATGTTTATAGGGTACCCAAAAGTTTAAAATTATAAATCTTCATACTTTCCTTACACATTGTCTTTTTACAATCTATTATTTGTAGTAAATACTATAAGTAACTTAATTTTTTTTACACAAAACTTGAAACTGAAGATGAGCAAGTGACTTCGAAAGTAGTCTGGCAGCCAAACCCTGATTTTTCTCCGAACCAGGAAGTAGCTTCCACATAATTTTATTTTAGTTTTTTATTAATTTTTTTGTCTTTAGAGTGTACTGAATCGAAATCCAGATGATGCCACCATAGCATCCTTGAGGAATTTGATAAATTCAAGATGGTGGCCATTTGGGCCACCAGAGCAGAAAACTGGCATTTCTTGGCTATAAATTATCTCTTCTTGAAGATTTTGGTGCAAAAACATATAATTTAAATCCAATGAGTTTATTTTCCCCTAAAAATGTGGCCTTCTTTTATATTTTTATTAGTTTTTGGGTAAAGTAGCTCACAATAGTTGGTATAAATCATAAATTATGCAAAGTATTATCATCATTTAATTGTTAATAAAAAAAATTCTTCTTTACTTTGTGCCCGAGGGTGAATGACAATACGTAATTTAAATTTATCCTGCAAAGTATCTCATTAAACCAGTGTTAATCATGATGGTGTTTGTAAGAGCTGAATGTGAGGCTGAATGGCTACTATGGTACATCTCTGGGTTGTGATTGTAATGATGGCCTACTTTTTTACTGCTGGTCATCAAAACTAGATATTGCCTGTACTACCTATGTTCAATGGAAAAACTTCCAGAGGAAGTTCTGGCCAGCTTCATGAAAGGCAAGCATGTAATGCATCACAAATCTGGCTTATGGAATAACATATGGTCAGATATGTTTGTTGAAAAGACATTCGTGCGATATGGGCATAGGTCAGGCGGCTTGGTGGGAATAACACTGAAACCCTCGAGTCTGAAAAGATGAGCTCTGGTGTGGCAAAAATGAAAACTGGATGCAAAGAATCAAATGAGGTTACAACTTCCAAAGAAGAAGCAGTATTTAGAATGATATCTGATGAAAAAAGAGCAAAGATAAAGAGAAATTAAAGCTATATATCGATTCATTGAACACTGATGGCTGTCCAAGTGAACTAATCGACATGGTATCTGGCAGGATTTCCTCAGTGCATCATGTTGACAATGATGTAGAACTTAGCCAGAAACAATGAATGAATCAGAATCAACATGGCTGGGAGGATTTTATGGACCCTTAACTAACAAAGTAAAGATGAGGACTGGATAAAAAGCACTTAAAGGTTTGCACTGGAACAACCTTCAAAACAAGAGTTCATCTATGGAAATGTGATGGGTTTCGTGAGTACAAAGAAGATTAGTAAATAAGAATTTTTATGAACTTGCAGAAGACCCAATTGCACTTTTTGATGAACATGGAAACAAGAGAATCAAACAAACACTCTATATTGACAAGGGAATTTCAAATTGAAGTCAGCTAGAATATTGATATCCGGTAATTGATGGATGTACCATACTCTGGGTAATCAACTGGCTCTCTGTGGGTCTGGTGCAAAACATAGAAGATTCGTTTGTTACCTACATTTATTCCAAGTTGAATCAAGCCGATATCTACCTAATACAGTATTTGTTCGCTACATGGAGAATAGCTTCAAAAGTGGAACAAGGAGTGATCGTGCATGCATCAGAGTCAATAGAAAGCATAAATTAAGCCTATCAACCCCTCTCCCTCCCCAGCAAACAGTTTTGACCATAATAAAAAATAAGGTACAGCTCATTTATATGATGTACAAAGCCCTCTTAGTTAGAACACGGCAACTAACTGAGTCTCAGAAGGCATTTAAACACAAACTGGTAATCACCAGCTTGCAAGAAATGCATATGGGTGTGATGATATGAAGATATAACATGAAGAGGCAGATGTAATCCTTCCACACCAAGTGTTGCTTGGGGCAAAAAATGATGCTCGGTGCATCACTTTGCTTTTTGATGGCACCGATATATTCATCCTCCTGCTTCACTACTATGATAAAAAGAAAATGCAGTGCACACTCCTAAAGGTCCGATGTTGAATTTCTTCATCGATGTCTGTGGTGGTGGATAGGTGGGAGCCGAGATACTGAAAGTGGGTAACATTAGAGAGGGTAGTACAGTACTATTAACCTGGATGGATGGTGGAAGTGTGGCTGAACCAAGGGCAGGCTGAAAGAGAATCTGAGTCTTACATACATTCACCTCAAGGTTGAAGTGTGCATACGCATCTGTATCGGTGTTCAGGATCTCCTGTAAGTCACGTTCTGTGTGAGCGATGAGGGTGAGGTCGTCTGCATACCGAAGTTCAGTGATGGAAGTGGCCGACACCTTTGTTCCTGCCTGTAATCGTTTTATGTTGAAAAGTCCCTTCATCCGGTATTCGATGTTCATCCCAAAGGCTAAATTGGCACTGGCACGAGTAAGGAAGGCAGCCAAGAAAATGGAAATGAGAGTTGGTGCCAGTACACATCACTGTTTTACCCCCAATTGGATGGGGAAGAACTCAGACTGAGTGTCTTTGTGCAGGACACTGCTGTCCATGCCATCATGAAGTTGCCTCTCGATGGCGATGAATTTTGATAGCAGTCAAAACGACTTAGGGTCCACCAGAGGGCATCCCTGTTGACCGAGTCAAAGGCCTTAGTAAGGTTGATGAAGCCCATGTACAAGTCACAGTGCTGTTCTCGGCACTTTTCCTGTATCTGACGGGCAGCAAAGATCATGTCAGTGGTGCCACATGATGGTCTAATGCCACATTGAGATTCTGGGAGGAAGTTTTCCTCTTCAGGAAGAAGTCTGTTTAGGATGACTTTGGCAAAAATCTTGCCAGCTATGGATAGCAGCAAGATCCTATGGTAGTTGCCAAAGTTTGACCCCTCTCCTTTGTTCTTATAAATATTGATGATGGAGGTGTCTTTAAGAGCTTGGGGGATTTCCTCCTCCCATATATTCTCCAGGAGAGAGAGTGGAGACGGCTGGTAAGCAAAGGTCCTCCTGCTTTTTATACACCCTGGCTGGGATTCCATCAGGCCCTGTGGCTTTGTTATTTTTCATCTGCTTGATGGCAGTAGCTACCTCATTCCAGGATGGAGGATAGCTGAGGTGGGTCAGCTCTGGGTGCTGAGGGACCTGCTGGGTAGTCAGAACATCCACATCGTTATTTGGTTGAGCAGTGAATGGTGTTTTTCCAGTGCTGACACCCACACATATTTATTGAAAAAAATAAACTCATTGGACTTCTACACATGTAATTTGGCACCACAATCTTCAAGAAGAGATTATTTATAGCCGAGAAATACCAGTTTAATGCTCTGGTGGCCAAAATGGCTGCCATCTTGAATTTCTGAAATTCCTCAAGGATGCTATATCATCTGGATTTTGATTCAGGACACTTGGAAGACACTAAAAACATGAAGAAACATTATGTGGATGCTACTTCCAGGTTCACCCCCCTGGCTCCCAGACTAAAGGGAAAAGAAAAGACATCAAGGAAAAGTGTGCTTTCCTCCAACAATCTTGAGTGGCACTAGAAGTACAGTACAGTAATAGATTAAAATATTTTCTACATAGAGACATCTTCTATTGCTTATTTTCTGTACATGTAACTCGATTTATATCTAAAACATAACTATATATTAGAAACTAGTTATGTGCTGCCAAGTGGTGAATCACCTATAAATAAAAGTCATATACTGTACTGTTGGCCCGAGTGTTTAGTTATTTTTTTTAAGTGTACATGTCGTCTTGCCTTAAAACCAATATATATATATATATATATATATATATATATATATATATATATATATATATATATATATATATATATATATATATATATATATATATATATATATATATATATATATATATATATATATATATATATATATATATATATATATATATATATATATATATATATATATATATATCAAGTACTGCCAGTAACATTTGCATATTAATTTCAACTTCAGCTACACAATGTTCAAAGTAAAATGCAGTACAGTATCAGAAAACATACATGCCTGGATTCTATGTTTGCCCTTGACCAGCATTTAATTTTGTTTATGTTACTTGCCATACCTTTCCCTTGTACCATGAAATTGTACCTTTACTGGAGACTGTACATAGTGTGTGCAAATGATTGCAGTACGGTATTCTAATTTTATTGTTTTTCAAGGCTCATTATTTAACACATTACAGTATAGTCTTGATTTACGCGGATTTGGTTTACGAGTTTGGTCATTTACGCGGCACCTTGCCAGACCGACAATTTTTATTTACACGGTTCATTCCATCATTTACGCGGGAAGCGGCGCGGGCAGGGTGCGCACAAGGTCGCCCAGTCATCAAAACATTACCGAGTTCTTCATCCGCCACCCACCACAGCCGGCCCAAGTCAGTGATAGTGAGGATATGGACTTTGAGGGGTTTGACAAAGAGGCCCTGCAAGCCTCTGTGGTGGATAGTGATACAAGTGATACAGGTGAGAGCCAAAATCTGCCCTCTGCCTCGGAACCAACCCCCCATCCCCGTGTGCCCAGCCATCTTTTCTACTAACGTAAGTGTTAAAAAACATAATATTATTGATATTTCTCTTAAATATTAATTGTATGTGCATACCACCATTCAATTAATCCCATAGGTTCTGTTATTTCGTTTACGCGTTTCTCGTTTTAAGCGGACCTCCACGGGTTCAATTGACCGCGTAAATGAAGACTATACTGTAGTACTTGAATTTTAAGATTTTGAATGCATATTCTTTTCTGGGGAGTGAAAACTAACATGTTAGTATACACCATTGAGAAAATATATATAAAAGTCATTTAAAATTTACGGGTACGCCATGATTGACCGTTTAAATATTCTAATTTTATTTATTTTTTCAATGCTCATTATATAACACAAATTCCTCTAATTTTAAGATTTTCAATGCATATTCTTAATGAACATATAAAGGAGTACCTTTGTAAGAATTTTTTGCAAAATCTATTTTTTTTACCTCATATGCCGAAACACAAGGAGTTTCTTGGGGGACAGAATGCCTTTTTTCTGGAGAGTGTAAACTAATGTGTTAAAATGGTAAAGTTAGTCTTTATCACTGAGAAAATATATATTAAAGTCATTTGAAACTTACAGGCACACTGTATTTGACATTTTAAATACAGTGCAGGTTATTAAAATCCTTTTGTTAGTTAGAATGTTACAAAGCTGATGATCTTTTACAACTTACCTCACTAGATAAAAAAATAATAATTTTGAATTCTACACATTAGTCAGGTCTCAGAATTATTCACTTCAATATCAAAATTTAACTCTTGACTCTCAATTACACCTAAAGCTTACTATCAATGACATATTTTTAAATTATGACATCTGGTATGAGTGATTTCCTTAGTAATACGTGAAGGAACTTGGGGTGTGTTAGAGGATTTCATAATGAATATATTTCAGATTTGATATATTTTTAAGCTCTTGTTTCTTCTACAGTATAGTCTCGATTTACGCGGATTTGGTTTATGCGTTTGGTCATTTACGCGGCACCTTGCCAGAATGACAATTTTAAGTTACGCGGTTCATTCCATCATTTACGCGGGAAGCGGCGCGGGGAGGGTGCGCATTAGGTCTCTCTCAAGTTATCTCTGACGTCATATGACGTATCGGACTGTGATTGGGCCACGCTTCCTTACCTCCCTCAGCCGCTAGCTGTGATTGGTCTAATGTAACATGACGTGCCCTGCCACCAGAGGGAAAAAGTCGCTGACCTAGCCGGGCCAGTCTCATTGTTCTCAGTCTCCGAGTATACAGTTCTCCCTTGTGCCCGCTATTCCCCTCACAATGGCTTCTGCTGGACCCCCACTACCCCCGAGAAACCTTGAACTACCTGAACCAAGCCATGGTTATGTGAAGGAAGTCATCGAGTTGGGGGAGAAAATCAAGCTCATCCTTGACAAAGACACAGTCAAGCATCGGTATGAAGTGTCGAATAACCTTCTGTCGAAAATTATGGAGCCGTATGTCCAGATGTATCACGACAACATCAATGCTAGCCATCAAAGTAACATTACCGAGTTCTTCGCCCGCAACCCACCACAACCACAGCCAGCCAAAGTCAGTGATAGTGACAGTGATGGTGACTTTGAGGGGTTTGCCAGGGAGGCCCTGACATCTGTGGTGGATAGTGATAGTGATTCACCTGAGGGCCACTAATCTGCCCTCTGCCTCGGAACCAGCCCCCATCCCCGTATGCCGACCCATCTCTTCTACTAACGTAAGTGTTAAACACATTTATATTTGTACAGTGGTGTAGTTTTTTATTTAGATATTATGTGTGTGTCAATACCATCATAAAATTATGATGTTATTTTTACTACAAGGTACGTATTGTGTCGGAAAAAGTGGAGTTTGGGAGTCGGCCCAGTCTCTATTTCAATTATTCCTATATGTTCTGTTATTTCGTTTACGAGTTTCTCGCTTTACGCCGACCTCCTCGGGTTCAATTGACCGCGTAAATGGAGAGTATACTGTACTGTAAATCACTTTTCCATTGTGTTGAAATTTGGAAAATATTTGAATTATAATAAAAAAAATATAAATTGGATACTAAAATGTCTAATATTTATCTTCTCACTCCAGGCAATTTAAATTACATGTGTAACTGTCATAATGTATCATAAATTAGTCAATCTAAAGGTACTCAGCTCTTTACAACCTAGACAATTTCTAACTTTTTTGTATCACATCAAGGATTAGTAGTCATAAGATTAACTGTTGTTTATAATTAATGTCTTGTATATTGATGTCTGTGATACTTTAAGTATTTGAATACTGTGTTGTGACGGCACCGAGTGTGAGTTCTTTCAATACCAGACTTGACCAACACTGGAGCAGATTCAGGTACATTCAGGAGCCGGTGCATGCCCAGTACCTGCCAACAGTGCGTGAGAGACGTGACCAATCGCCCAAGCGGCTAACGAGCCGATCAGTGGTAATGAGGATAAAAGTAAAAATAAGTAAAGTAAAGGACTCTTCACTGTTCAGAAATAATTTTTTTATGTTTATACTGTACGTACTGTACATAAAATTTACTTTGAAATGGGATGAATTTCAAGAAATTAATACCTACAGGGTACTGCACCATGATATACTGTACAGTATGCCTGATATTGAATTTTCTTAAACTTTTATCATTATCAATGTTCTTGGCATCACAAGAGTAGCAAAAGCTTTAAGTTTGTACATATACTGTACATGCATTCTGTGAAGGCTACGTGCTTATTTGCACTTTTTTTTTAGATGAACACTTCTATCAACTTTACAATTAACAAACATACAGGTTTATGCCAGTTTTCTTGGAAATGTCCATCAATATTTGCCAACTCCCCTCTCATATAATAAAGGAAAATAAGGGAACTGTATAACCAACTGTAAACCACATTAAAACTGGAATTCCTTTTCACAATTTCATTTGTTGCTACTTTATACTGTCATGGGAGTTCCAGGTTTTGACTTGCTCTGTACTGTTCTAGTCACTAAAAAACACAAGATCCATATAAGTCATGGACCTAACATAAAATAGGTGACAGACAAATTAAGAATCGGCAGATGAAGTGAATATACAGTGTGTTCCCCTGCAACCAATGTGCATAAAAACAATACTGTACCCATTTCTTTAATTTTGTGGTAAACAGTTCCAAAAGAACAAACTCATCATCATCATCATCATTTTACAGCCATTTTACACCCTTGTGTGAATAAGCCGTGAATATCTATTGATGCTAGCTATTGTCAGCAATGTAACTTAGAAACAATATACTATATAAGATCCAATAAAATTTTGATACATGCTTCTACAATCCTGATGATAATCTGAGATTACCAATGTCTTCCTGCATGGCTTCTTCTCTAATAAATGCTCTTTCCCTCTCAGTCATATGTTCCCATGTGGTCAAATTACCTTTAATCATGCGTACTCAAATTCGGTAGTCTTTAAATTACAGCTTTTCATGCTCTTCATACTCTCCCAACAATGTCCTGTATAAAAAGCTTGCAACTTTTTCAAATAAATAATTTATACCCTGTACTCTTTTCTTTCTTCTCATTATTATCTGAGCAAATGATATACACTTCTCGATCTCTGTAAATCAATATTTAAATTTTAACTCCATCAGAGAAGCAATTTTGAATTCTGGCTGATAAATTGGTTCCCATGGTAAAATACAGAACTGATGTCGTATGTCTATATGTAAGTGAAGTGCATATCTTTTCTTTAAAATGTATTTGTTTACATAACCAAATATAGGAGTGGAATAGTTATCACAAGAGCAATCTCTGAATTCAGGTCCATGTTTTTTTGATAGTCATGATGTTACATATTTGTATCAAAGGTTATTTTTGTAAGTTATTTCAAGTATAGTATTACAATAATATTTAAACTTGGGAATGTTTTCCTAAGTGTATTATTCAACATGTTATATTTTAGATAATACTTATATGTTCAAAATATATATTCTTGTGAAAACTTTAGTGCCAAAAATTGTTAAAAGGCATACCAGAAAACATCTTTAGCATCTGTTTAATTTTTTTTGCTACATGTGTGATATATACCAATCTGTTAACTTAAAGTATACTGTACAGGTATTTAGTTAGGAAGATGATTTTTAGTCAATTTTTTTTAATTGACCTTGAAAATACAATTAATGAGCATTCTGCCTTTATTCCATTACATGACAAAACCTCAATCTTGGTAATTTGTTTACCAGTGTAAAAATGATCTGTAACCTTCCTCCTGTTTGTTAAGGTGGTGTATGTTTATGTGTGTAACTTCTGTTAATGTGAAAATGCTTTCTCATATCCTATCTTGGGATATTGATGGATTGTGAGTGTTGGGTACTGAATGGAGAATCAGTTGACTTAACTTTGATGATAATTACTGAAGATATACAGCACACACAAAAATGATTTAATAGCAGTGTCAGTAGATGTACTGTTACAAACCTAGGCATGTAATGCCCTCATCTGCTGGTTTCAATGAAAATAAATACCGTACCACAGTAACATTACTCACTGGAGTGTTATCAAAACTAATCCACACTGTTAAGTCAAGTTTTTTTCTCTAATAAAATTTGTGTTGTCTCTCCTAACTGTTCTCACATGTTTGCAGAATTTTGTAAAATCCTGTATATTTTACCTTGTACAGTTGTTGTTGCATCTTAAAAAGAAATTAAAAATAACAAATAAAACTGAAAACTATACTATTAATTTTCCTTATCAATAATAAAACTTATAACTGAGGTACAGTAGCTAAAACAACTATCTGTGCAGGTGGGGGTCGATATGCTCCGAAATTTTACGTGTGACTAGTGACAGCCCTCATATACAGGTTGTACCTCTCTAGTCCGGCAACCTCGGGACCTGACCGGTGCCGGACCATGGAAATTCACCCTCGAAACACCCTACATAAAGCAGAAAAACATTAGATAGGAAATAAATAAATAAGAAAAAGTAATACGATTAAAATACTATTTCATTTACCTTTAATGCTACCATAATTTTGCTTCCAAAGTGAAGTGATGGTACTGTAACTAAAATTACATTTGAGGTACATCAGGGATATTGGCTATTGGGCAAACTAAAATCATTCCAGACCACGGGAGTTTCCGTACCACAGAATGCCGGACTAGAGAGGTACAACCTGTACCAATATTTATCGTCCATGGTCTCATATTGCTTCCCACAAAGTATGCACAGATAGTTGTTTTAGCTTCTGTACATTAGCCTGAAGGATACTGCTACACATAAGGGAGTACAAGTACATCAAATCCTTTAAAAATTTTACACTAGGTCCTCTGGCCTTGCCGAAATTATGGTTTTTGTTGAATTACCCCAAATTTCCAAATTTTCACACCCATTTTGGCATGATGCACATTCGCCAACAAAAGTCCTGTCACCTCACCTGCCTCTTCATGAACCCAGAGATTCAGAGACCTCACAAAGCATATACATTTACAAGAAGGTACTGAGGGTATGCCGTATACCCGACAGTGTTTTACCGAACGTTCAGATCTGTAGCACAAGCTGGAAATACCACCCTAATGTGCGGTAACACATTCTAAGCATAATTTGTGTTTTGCCCTACACATTTATAACCTTGCATAATATATACTGCATTATAGCTGCACAAGTAGCTCCTTAAACCTCCACCATAATTTCTTAAAACAATTAAAGAAACGAACGAACAACTGCCATGGATTATTATTGCATAACTACTTTCTTTGGCGCCTTCAACTTGAGTGGGGAGCGTTGCTGTGGTTGGGCCAGGGCGGCTGTCTTGCGAGGCAGGTGAATATTTCCGAGATAGTTATAGCACTGTTTAGTTGCCTCCTGGCAGTCCGTGTAGTGCTTGACAGGCTCCACTGTGTGGCGGTCCAGGAAGGCTTGGTGAACCAACAATGCCGGCAGGGCAGCTGATATGTTACCTTTCCTCAACTTGTTCAAGGCATTTTTGTAGTTGTTTAACTGTACTTCTAGTTCTTGTAAGAGTTTGGAATACTGTTGTTGGTTACCACACATGTTGCACCTGGAACGACTACTGGTGGAATAACAGCAGGAGCCACCGCAGGAGGGCGCTGGGCACCTGAAGATCAGTGTCTCTGCTGGGTGGTGAGGATACAATGGCCACACTAATCTGCACGCCTCACACAGACATTTAAATTTATATTGGTTAAGAAGGGCTTCTTGACGTTCATTGACAGTGGCTGTGTAGAAGTGAAAACCATAGTTATCGAGAATCTCATTCCCACGGGGGATAGACCTTGTGGCCCTCAGCACACACTGATCACTGATGCTGTAACGCGAAGCATTGGCAACACAAGAGTGGTTTGTGAGGGAGATAGTGGTGTATAGAGCTCCTCCCACTTCCAGCACCTTGGCGCCCACCACGCCCTCAGGACTAACATCAAACTCGCTAATTTCGTAAGCATTGCAAGAAGCTCCCTGTATATGCCTGAGCAGCAGACTTGCCACAAACATCATATCTTCCTCGTTCACGTCGTCCTCGCCAAAATAACCAGCGACTCTCAGGCACTGAGCCAAGTACACAGCAGTGATAGTTCGCTTGAACATGTCACCAAACGTCCTTTTGGTTGAGTTACTTGCTAAGTGTAGAACAGTCCTGTAGTCGCGGGAAGAGTACATTCCCTCCCATGAAAAGGGCTTCTCCTGCTCCGCCTCCTCTGTTGGCTGTTTCTCTCTAACACTTGCCTCACCCTGCTCCACCTCACCCTCTACCAAGGTTTCAATTTGCTGTCGCCACTTCAGTAGTGCCCGCCATTTTATCGTTGTTATCACCCTGCAGATAAGGAAAAAATATATTAACCCTTTCACAGCGGGAGGTTACTCTAAGCTGAATAAAATCGTTTGACGGTAGCCAGAATAAAATAGCAAGTGCGTGAAACGCGGTGAAAGGGTTAATTACTAGCCACCCGTCCAACAAAACAGCTGAGAAACTCCTTGTGTTCCTATAGTCACCAGCAATGTGAACTGAATCAATAGAAAGCAAGAAATTTACATGCTCACTTATTGTTTCCAGGACAAGATGCCTTATCTTCTGTATCAAATTAGAGCAAAAACTAGCCCTGTGTCTTCCAGCCAGGAAACAATTGCAAAACATACATCACGGTAGGAGTTATGAATATCATGTTATGTTAGTCAAGCTGTAGTCCAGTCACATAACTTTTGTAAAGCATATGAGAATTGATTAGGCTCGAAGTTAGGGCGGGACAAGGAAGACCATAGGATTCTTTTTTCTCCTCAATGGATTTTGTCCACCGAACAGACCATTACCAGATGTAGTAGACTGACTAGGTTCGGTCTGGCAGCAGTGGGGTTGAGTCAGGTATAGCAGAGAAAGGAGAAATCTACGTCCAATAATAATAGGTAGTAGGTAGTAGGCAGCTACCGAACAGGGAGGTACTACCGCCTGGGAAGATATTGGCAGCATAATGTGTTGTCTAATGGTAGACCCTGCTGCCATATGACATCACGAAAATTGTGACCAAGTCCCAGGTTGCTGATCTGACTTTCTGCCTCATTTACACACAATTGTAAGGTCTCAATTGTTTCTATTACATGACAAAACAACATACATATATAGCGTTTCTCTACTGTTGATTATTTTCATTCTTGCATTTCTTTGTATGTATTATTATCACAGTGTTGTTATTATTATTATTATTACCATTAATATTTTGTTTTACTTTTTATTATACATTTTATTTACTATGAATTATTATTATTATTAAATTTTCGCCCCCCAGGCCCTGATGTGGGTCAGTGACCTGTGCCCGGGTGGGCTAATCCCTGTAAAAAAAGAAAAAAAAATTATGTGGGGAATGTGTGGTAGTGGGTCAGGGGTAAGTGTAGTTCTGACAGTAGCAGGCTCGGTAAGTGGCGACAAGATCAGGATAGATGTGGATGAGCATGAATAAACCTTATGTGGTGACGAAGTGAGTCCTAACCTGTAGGCCAGTAAAGCCATCTTGCCTATCCCAGGGTCAATGAGGTGGTCGAGAACGCAGCACTCGACGTGGTGAAGCCCAGACCAGGACGCCGCCCGGCACCCCTCGCTGCAGTATGACACCTGCGGCACCACAGTAGTCATTAAAGTACTGTATCTGTATACTTCATCATGGATATATATATATATATATATATATATATATATATATATATATATATATATATATATATATATATATATATATATATATATGTGTGTGTGTGTGTGTGTGTGTGTGTGTGTGTGTGTATGTGTATGTATGTGTGTGTGTATTGGACAGTTTGGTGAAGCTGAGTTATCATCTAACAACATCATGGATTTCGTGTGCCACCCTTCGGGTTATTCTTGTCTCAATTCTGGATTCAAGTGCATTGCCATGTCTCTCTTGAACGTAAAAGTAATCAGAGACGTGACCGATCGCCCAAGCGGCTAACGAGCCGATCAGTGGCGAAGAGGATAAAAGAATGAAAAAGAATAAATGCAAATCTTGTGGTGAGTGAGAGTAGTAGGAGGTGCCTTACCTTAGCACAAGAGTTGCAGGGAACTGGTGTGTGGCAGCGGGTGTAGCACTGGTAGCAGTGACTGCTCAGGTGCTCTGGGTTCATCATCGTACAGTAAGGAGTGTCCACTATCAAGATGTCGCCTGTCACCCGAAAATAAATTGAATATGTATTGTTTTTTTATTACGTTATCATTTTAATCACACGCGTAAATATGTTATCCACTTAATCTGATTGAACATTATAATATATTGCTTACCAGGTTTAATGTCTTTCTTAGCTATGGTGCAACGGCCTCTGTCTTCCGTAATGATGAAGTCAAGGGCAGACGACGCACTCGGGAAACGCTTGTGAGGGCCGTAAGACACCTCAGGTACGACAGCCTTTACCTCCACCTCCCCCAACTGAGTCTTCGATCCTTTTTTATTTTTCTTTGCTTTCACTGTTTTGAACACCGTCATGATCCTTACGGTTACAGTTGCTTTAACTTCATTCACAGTATTACTTTTTCGGAGATTCTCTAATGATTTGAGGAAGTAAGTCTCAGCTGCCTTGTTGTCGTGCTCCCTGGCGCTACAGTACCCGAGGATCTCAAAAGAATTCCATAATAATTCTTCGGGACAGTTAAACGTCAAACTTTTCTTAGCGTCGATTTTTGCGTCTTCAAACTGTTCCAGGAGCAACGACGCCCAGCCTCTCTTCATGTACCGGACGGCGAGAGTGGTGACATCCTGGGCTGGGGTCTTTTGCACACATTTTCTCATCACCTCGAGAGCCTTGCTGGCAGACGCCTCGTTGGAAATCAGCATATCATATACCTTCTCATAGTTGCTGGCATCTTCCTCAATCTTTCTGGAATAATTTTCTTCCAGGTTCATTGTCTTGATCTCTGTCAACTGGGAGACATACTTCACCCTCTCTAAATCTGTGTTTAAGTCCTGAAAATAATTTTGTCGTATTAGAATTTGTGGTACAGTACTGGTATAGAGTAAACACATCGCTGTTAGAGCCCTGTAAGGAGACAGTTATCTCGTCAAATTAGTGACTTTGGGTTACAAGTCATGCTTGCTTTTTACACTTGGTTGATAAGAATAATCAACGGTTACTTACAGCTCTACTGTTTTCTTTAAACACTCCCTCCAAAAACAAGTTTCACTCATATATGGTTTAGTGAACCAATTAATTTTAACAAAACCATTTGAAAAGTAGTTCTCACGCTTTACTGTAATGCAACCTAAAATAGTAAACCAGGACTGTCCTCTTGAATAACTTGAGATGCCCGACTTTATTGACTACGAGTGTCAACTTTTGCATGATATTTAGACAAACGATGATACTGACTCACAATACCAAAATTGTCATCTGTATTCAATACTGAACGTGAACCCTACAGTTCCTTCTGTTTCATTGTATCTCATGTTTTGCCATTTTTTCCCGGTAATACGTGTACGATTTTAGCTAAAGCTACACACGCTCCTGACTTATATACGAGCAATTTTTACCCTACACTTAAGTCCTTAAGGTGCCAGGAATAAACATTGAAGAACCAGTTAATACCGTAACGGTTGAAGCTAATGACTGCTTATTCACATTATAAAAACACACGTGTGAATAGAGAAGAGTGACTGATCGCCCAAGCGGCTAACGAGCCGATCAGTGGTGAAGAGGATAAAAGTAAAAAGTAAAAGTAAAGTCGTGAAAAGTTACGTCAGCGTATAAATCAAAATTATGTCCGTCAGTCGCAGACAATCAAATTTTCTCGGTCAGTAATTGAGTGAGTCCATGAATTAGTGACCAAGTGGTGTATAAAGGCATGTACAATCATATTTATTAAAATTAAATAAATGTAAGGTGATGGCATCATTATACTAATGAAAGAGTTGACACTTTCATTTGTACCTCAACAGTGTTGGAAGTCTTACCTGAAAGTCTCTCATGATGTCGTCGAGGGTGCCGGAGCTGCGGATGCGCTGGCAGATGTCTTCGTATAGGACCTTGAAGGAAGGTGAGGCAGGGCGCTGTGTCTGTTGGACCTCCGGCAGTGGCACTTGTGGCTGCTGCTGCTGCTGAAAACCTGCCCTAGCTGCCAAAGGTTGTGCTCCCCCGCATTGTGACGCAGGTAATACGTTCTGTGCATCTTCTTCCGTCCGTTGTAGCCCTTCTTGTATCTTCTTCAGAAATTCTTCATAAGCATCCATGTTTCTGTAGACAGCAGCACTTGTTACTTAAGTCGCCAACCGGCTGTAAATTTTCACGTTGCAAAAACCAAAATGTTTTGAAAAGAAGCAAAATTTACCTTACAAAAAATAAAAAGGAATATTACTATGAATCTTAGTGAAACGACAAGGCTTTCGTCTCTCGTTTTTGTTATTAAACCATTTGTTACCCAAACAGAAGGAATAAAGTCAAATAGCCTGCTGAAGCAGCAAAAGATTCACGGGAATGACATAGCATAGCGTCTAACAAACTGAAGTAAATAGGTTGTAACTTGATATTTCTAGTGAAGATCGCTATGTTTAGATTAATTGATTTCTTAGATAACCATTACCACTATTTATGTTGCTAGTTGTAAGTTTTAGATATTGCACTACGGCTACTATCATTACCACCACTACCACAATTACTGTTCAAGTTACGTATTGTACTACAACTATCACCACCACCACCACTATTACTGTTGCTAATGCTGTTTTACATATTGCGCCACAGCTTCATAGTAAATCATCTGTTTGTATATCAATTGATTTGTTTTTAATGTCCACATACAGCGGCTAGTTAATTGTGCACTCCACACTCATCTTGTGAGCGACAACTCAAAAGGATTAGAGTAGTGGTCGGATTACAGAAGGGGTCACAAAGGGTGTGTATAGCAGACCCCAGTGGTAGGGGCGTCGTCAGCTCGTTATATAAAGGTCTATCTAGTTCCTGTAGGTATTTTCCACATATTTTACAAAGCATGAACACTTGAGCTTGATGTTAAACCCCCGTTATACATTTACCAATAACTCGTCTTAGCAATCCTCACCCCCGAGTCCTTATTTGTCGGGGAATACAGATCTGTTTCTTTCAACACGTTTATTGAGGTATTGAGATTTTTCATAGCTGTTGGCAAGCGGAGTAGATGATTTAAACTTCATGATCAAATACAGGCAAAACTTGTGCATTGTGCCAAGTTCCCCCAACAATGTTTGTCTTAATTATTTTTTAACTACCTTGTCAAATTGAAATTATTTTGACATGACAATTTCGATTTTTAACTTTGGTATTGTAGTGGATACCTCCCCTACAAACGTTGTTTGTCGCTAAGTAGCCGACCCCGCGAATTCCCCAGTGTATGTCTCGTGGTCTAGGTCAACCAGCGCCGCCTTACATGACGGAGGTCAACTATTAAGCCACGCCTACCTCCGCTATAAAAGACCTGACCTCGTGGTGACCACTCTCTTTTCTACCTACACCAACCAGCAAGCAACACTTCCTCCTCCTCCTCCTGCCTGGCGGCCCTTGCTCCCGCCGGCGAGCATGGCGACCCACAAGCTGGTCCTCCCTAAGCACCCTCACCAACCAGCTCCATCTACTCAACGCTTGTAACCATGCTGCCTTCCCAGCACCAAGCTGCATTGTACATCCAATACAACATGTATACAGAGAGCACATTGTGAGTTTCCTTTCTCCATCCCATCCTGAGTGTGAACCAAATATCCCGTACCCCACAATATCAATCAGGGTCTGAGTGAAGGAAACATTTTAAGAAAAAATATTTGGGATGTGACTACCACGCAATGTTTATCACGGCATGTAATAGTATTAAAACAAATGGGTCGATTTTCTGAAGAACAGTTTGATCCACGTTGACCCAAAACGTTACATAAATAAACAGTGGTTGAGGAGAGGAGAAGGAGATGACCATCTTACTTTTAGCTATTATTATATCTTTGTTAGCCAAAACAGTTAAATCCGGCTCATTATCTTACCTCCAGTGTTACGTTGATGACAAAATAATCGATGCAATGTTTACTGTCACTTCCTTTTTCTATCACCACAAGGACCAGTTCCATCAACGCAAAGTTCTTTTTTTTTGTATATAGACAGAATTTTGGAAATGTTGTGAGTCATACGGAGACGCCTCTGAAGTCTTACATAATGTGACTGGAAATTTTTGTACTACCGTGATATATCTCCCCGACAAGGGAGTAGAAGTGAGGACGACGGGGAGGAGCACTGAGCGGTGAGAAGACACACTGGCACACCCGCCTCACCTCGGCCGAATCTGTCGTCGAGACGCACGCATTAAGGGTGGGTTGCCTGCATTACTACCACACATCCAACCTCTCTGCTAAACTGAGTGTACAGTAGTTCTGATTTGAGAATAAATGTTTTAAGATCACCGTCAGAACCAATTTTAACTTACATGGAACATAGGTACAGAGGTGTGTGGCTGTTAGATTTTTTTACAATTTGATTCAGTGGAGGCCAAGGTGGTGGGTGATACGATGTATGTGGCACCTATTGGTGGTCTTGGCACGACACTGCCTTCCGGACGGCGCGGCGATGCCCCCTGTTCCTCGCCTCATAGAGCAAATACAGCTATAATTATACTCTCATTCTCCCCACAGGGGCTTACTAAAGTCTAAGGAAGGAAGGTATGATACATCCTAAAATGTATTGAATATTTCACAAACTATGATATCAATTTTTATATTGTCTATGATTTGCTGGCATGAAAAACGCAGATTAATGTCGTATATCACGTTTCTCATTCGTGAAGTGAATAAGTACAATCAAGATGAAGCGTTTATATAGTCGTATTATTCAGACTGAATTTAACAGTTGTGTAACTAGAATTGTTTATTTATTGTTCATGCTGTGATGGTGTATAAATGTATATATTATTGTATATGAATGTACGAATCATGTTCTCTGTACTGTTTACACCTTTCATTTGCAAATGTTTATGAAGGGATAAATTTGTTTTAAATGTAGAAGCTTCGGATACGACGATGGTGTGTCTCCGTTCACACTTCACCGTCTTCACAGTTCCAAATCAATATAATATGAACGACATTCGCTGCCCTTTACGTTGTTACAGACTCAGGGTTTGACATAACCGAGTGCGAGCTCTTTCAAGACAAGACTTGACCAACACTGGAGCGGGTTCAGGTACATTCAGGAGCCGTACATGCCCAGTACTTGCCAACAGTGCGTGACAGAGACGTGACCGATCGCCCGGGCGGCTAACGAGCCGATCAGAGGTGAAGAGGATAAAAGTATAAGTATAGCCCAAAATGTCGAATGAGCTTAAAATTGTATACAGTGAAAATCAACTAGTTTTCTTTTATCATGTAATATATACACTTCAGAACTCCACTAATGAAGACCCCGGTGTTTGATTGGGTTATTCGCTAACCTAATATTTAGAGGTATGTAATCGGGCCACAGTTTACACTACATGAATACGAAAGCGAATTATTTAGTTTGCGGAAGAAGCGAACATATTGCCAACATATTGCAGCACCGTTGCCAACATGGGCATTCGTCTGGCGTACTGGGAATACAAGATCAAGTTCCAGGCAACGTCCAGACTGACGTTCCAGTGCCACTGGACCAGTGCTAGTGGTTGAGTGGCCAGTGTTCTCGTGTCAGTTTTGGAGGTGGGTGTACTGTGCGTCACTGCTCTACAACTCGCCTTCGTAAAATTGCTTTTCTTCGTCATTTTTATTATTCTTAGCTGTATTTCAATTTACAACGTAATGATTATACCTTAAGAGTCTGACATAAATATTTCCGATTAAGGGAATTCAGGTTGCAAGGCACGGTTGTTAGCAACGAAGTTGATGTGTATCACACTGTCATGACAACTCACTACTCAAGGAGAGACAGGCTGTGTCAGTGGAGCTGTCTATGCCTCTGTGTATACCCTCTTTGTGTTAAGTATGTAACACTTATATTCCTTACTCGTTATGGTAGCTGTGCTATGTTCACCATGATGGCTTTTGCTTGATATTTTTTAAACTGGGAGAACAAATACATGACTTACCAGTCGCTAACATGGATTTAACTAGCATGAATGCTAAAATTGCTGGGTTGAGAAAGTTAGGTTAGGATCGTGGTTCAGTGAATACAGTATAAGCTTTTTTGACATTTGTAGAAAACTAATCAGTGCGTCAATTAATGTTTTTATTTATTTAAATGCAAAATATATTTTTAGACAATGATTATTAAACTTAAGTAGTTAATGGTAGAGAATCTAGAGACAAGGTTAACCTAAAAATGAAGTTAGGGAAGAATAATGTTAATAGGAGATAAGAAAAGAAAGCTAAATGAATCCAGGAAAAAAAGGTTACAAGAAAAAGGTCACAGGAAAAAAAGGCACGGAAAAACCTAACCTAACCTACGTGCAATGTCATCATATAAATATTGTGTTGTCAATGTGTACAAGTCATGTGACTTTTCCTGTGATTTTATTTCCGTTTACTGGCCAAATATTGGTTTTGTGGAGTGAGTACACTGGACAGCTGAAGCATAGGTCTGCCCCTCCAACGGTAACTGAACCAGCTTATACTTTTGCTTTTTACTTTTATCCTCTTTACCAAAAGATCAGCTCGCTAACCACCCGGGCGATCGGTCACGCCGCTGTCACGCACACATGATGGTGGTGCTTCAATAATGTTTCATCACCACGCATGATGGTGCTTCAATAATGGTTCATCACCACACATGATGTTGCTTCATTATTGGTTCATCACCACACATGATGGTGCTTCAATAATGGTTCATCACATCACATGATGGTGCTTCAGCAGTGGTCCATCACCACACATGATGGTGCTTCAGCAGTGGTTCATCATCACATGATGGTGCTTCAATAATGGTTAATCACCACACATGGTGGTGGTGCTTCAATAATGGTTCATCACCACACATGATGGTGCTTCAATAATGGTTCATCACCACACATGATGGTGCTTCAATAATGGTTCATCACCACACATGATGGTGCTTCAATGATGGTTCATCACCACACATGATGGTGCTTCAGCAATGGTTAATCACCACACATGGTGGTGGTGCTTCAATAATGGTTCATCACCACACATGATGGTGCTTCAATAATGGTTCATCACCACACATGATGGTGCTTCAATAATGGTTCATCACCACACATGATGGTGCTTCAATAATGGTTCATCACCACACATGGTGGTGGTGCTTCAATAATGGTTCATCACCACACATGATGGTGCTTCAATAATGGTTCATCACCACACATGATGGTGCTTCAATAATGGTTCATCACCACACATGATGGTGCTTCAATAATGGTTCATCACCACACATGATGGTGCTTCAGCAATGGTCACCAACATCATCAGGATTACAGTATTGAGAAATACAATTTTCATGAACATTTTCCCAGTCTTTTATACTATTCCCTTAGTGGCCGAGTTTCTGTAGAAATATTAATGTTTTAGAAATCCTCCATGATTTTCACCTAGAGCTACAGTATTTCTTTTTTTTCTTTTATTTTGTCTTTATTATATTTCTGTTGGAAAATACATTCAAAATTGTAATTTATCCAACAATTATTGAAAGCAAAAAAAGAAAATATTAACTAAGCCCATCCTAAACCCAGAGAATTGAGCCATGTAGTTTAAAAACAATATCCTTGTTAAAACATATCTTTCTATCCTACTGTACTATACTGTACTGCAAGTTTCATAATATTCTTTGTGAAAAAAAAATATTGAATGAAGCACTGTAGCTATCCATGTTAAAATGAATACCAGGAGGATAAAACTAATAAACATTAGTTCATGTGATAATATTTTTATACAGGAGGATGGGGTCACGGCAGCCACCTGATGGGTCACTGGAGCTGGTATGGGTGTTTGGCTACAATGGCCACACTGCCAGGAACAATGTCAAGATCAACAAGGATGGTCACCTCGTCTACTATGTGGCTGGGGTGGGCGTTGTCCACGACATCACACTTAGAAAACAGACCTTCTACACTGGTCATAATAATGACATTACAAGGTGGATAATTTTGTGAGCGAGGGGGTGGGTGTTTGGGTTATCTTGTTTTCACTGAATAATTTTAATGAAAAAGATATGTTTTTGTAGTACTGTATGTGGAAAATGAGAATGTAGTCAATCATTCCAAGTTGATCTCCTTTGTGATGTCAGCTTGGCGATGACAGGTGACATGCATTTGGCGGCCACAGGTCAGGTGGGGAAGGATGCTTACATCACTGTGTGGGACACCTCCACACGTGACCCCATCAGTGTCATCAGGGATGGACATACTCACCGTGTTTCTACCCTCTCTTTCTCTTCTGATAAAAAGGTGAAATGATTGAGTCATGGTCTTTGATATCACTTGTAATAATGTTCAACTGCAGTTGATTTTTCTTGCGTACTAAGGCATGTTCATAGTACATTAACAGCTGTAATTAAGGTTACAGTAAATACTGTACTGTACTTTATATGAATGTGAGTGAATTTTTTTTTTCAAGTTATATTCATAGCGCTGTAATTATTCTTGTAGTAAAACACAACCAACCTACAGTACTCTGTCACCTTTTTGTACTGTTGACAGCTGTTGGCATCTGTGGGAGGACCAGACCATAAACAAGAATTGATGGTGTGGGAGTGGCACAAGGGAAGGCGGCTTGCCTATAATATTGCTTTCTCTGGCAGGGTAAGTGTAATACAGTAGTTATCAATAGCCACACAGGTGTAATATAAACACAACAACTCATGTTTTATTTTGTAACATTTCCAAGATACTGTACTGGTAATTCTTTTTATGTTTACTAAAATGACTTTTCAAACTTCCCTATCCAAAAAGTTGTATTCTCTAGACAGACAGACACAAGCAGAAATGTCTGTCTTTTGAATACCACATTAAAGTGGCAGTAAATAAAGGTCCATAGAATAGAATATGCACAATGACAGCTGTACCAATCTTTTGAAGGCCAGGATAACATTGTATGGCACACTAAATTTATAGCTTTCAAGCAAATGACATTAAAGAAGCTGAGAAGTAGCATATTCTTCCATGTATCAGGAAGTAAAACTGATATGGTAAGTTGATTATGTGGTTTATTATTCTCATGTTAACCAAACTCAAAGATTTGTCATCAACTAGAGAAATGGTAAATAAATTTGTTGTTCCTGAGCTCAATAAAAGGCCTCGGGGACTAACGCCCGTATTATTAAACAAAAACATCCCTTGAAGAAGGTCGCCGTGTTTCAACCCAAGTTTTAAACTAAATGAGTCCTGAGGGACACAACAGTACTGTACTTAACATGGTGGTGTGGTGGTAAAATTAATTTATAATATTGGAATTATTTAATTTTACCGCCACACCACCCCATTAAGTACTGTACTGCGGTGTCCCTCAGGACTCATTTAGTCTAAAACTTGGGTTGAAACACGACGACCTTCTTCAAGGGATGTTTTTGTTTAATAATACGGGCGTTAAATTTTTGGTTCAGTACAGTACACACTTAGCAGGAGCTGTAGTGAAATTCACTCATTTATTACTAGCAAATGATGTTATTTACATTGTGACATCTCTTTAATGACTCCCTGGGGAATTCACATCTAAGAAGATGGCACAGTGTCACTACTTTTTTTTCACTTACCTGCATGTAACTTCATCTGGTCATTGGTGCAGAATGCAGTTGATATAAAATTTTATAATTTATTTGATTGTGCCATAAAACATTATGAAAAACAAAACAAAAATAAATCCCACATGGATTAAAAGCTCCTTACCAGAGATATTATTGTTTTATTTAGTGCTTTACTAATTTACTACTTGATAAGGAAGGAAACCAGTAGCAAGTTTAATCCCCCCCCCTCCTTTGTGTCTGGTAGGTTCATGCTAGTTGACATCCTTCTTGCCTCTTTCAGTGATGAGAGACTACTTGACTACTGTTGTACAGGGTGTAACATAAGACACTTTACAGGGAAAAAGTTAGTTTTACATTTGGCTGAACTGAATTGGTAATACCAATTTGAATATGCTGGGTGCAGTAGTGAGTTGACCAGCTTGCAGTGTAGTAGAAAAGGAAATTACTTCACCCAGAATGTTATAATTGGTGTTGCAAAATCAGTGTAGCCAAACATTACAAATAAATACAGGGTACTCTACTTGTATTAGCCTTAAAGTGACTTTTACCTCATCCTGATACATATCATGGAGTTACTTAGTGTGTTTTTTACATTTTATTAGTTGCTTTTGTGTTGAGTACCTGACCATTATAATCCTTTACAGGTGGAGGAGGTGGAATGGGAGCCTGGGTCAAACTCCAGGCTGGTTACTTGTGGACACAACCATGTCAGGTTCTGGAAACTGAGTGGTAATGTTATTCAGGTGAGACTAACAAGATAACCTTAGTGCATAATGATAAGGGGAGGAGCTACTGATGCAGGTACCAATAAGGGCTAAGGAGGTGGCTCTCAACAGCAATGTACAGTATTATACCTGATTAAGGTGTATGATTTGTTTTAAGTTAAGGTGCTTAGGAAGAAGATAACTACCCAGTAAATAGGTTTTTAGTTTAAAGGAGAAGGATTGATTTGAAAAATTTAGGTAAGAGGTTTTATGAAAGGGATATTTAATCTTATTTTATGTTCAAGGAGGAACAGGTAGAGGAAGGGATAATGCAAATGATTAAGTTCACGGGTAGAAGTAGTCTTGATTACCTCAGGGAGTTGTGACCTTGCCTTACCAGCTGTTCCCACCCTTTAGGCTGGCATTCTGTTATTTCAGTTTCATGTATCAGTAAAGTAGAGGAATTTTTTCACCAGACTTAGCTGCCCTTCCATGATTCAGAAATTTCTATCGTTTGGCAGCACCAGTCAGATCCTGGGGGTACTGGGTTAAAAGGGTTTAATATGTGGTATTACTGGTATTTGTAGTAATAGAAGTCATTGTGTTGTAATAGTAGTACAGGTAGTAAGAGTTCTTGTAGTACAGAATTAAAAGAATGCACTACCTGTACTCTTAAAAAAAGAAAATGAAGGAGAAGGTGGTCTCTGGTCTTGTTACTCAAAATATGAAGGAATTACTGTTGATAATGGCTAGCTCCAGTGTACGCCTCCTAGAGTTTCTAATTATTCTTTAATTAGTCTGTGGAGGATCATTCACTGTGAAACCTACAATTAATTAATCCATGTTTTTAGTTGACTACAGTACAGTATTACCTACGGTTCATCTCCAGTCATTGTCTAGTTGATGGTCAGTGATACCTTTGTTCAGTTAATTTCAGTGTAATGAAATTATGGATACTCTCAAGTGTTGAGTTGTTTTGTGTTCTCTTGAAATAATTTTTATTTCTCTTCTCTTGATTTCATGTACTTTATTACCTGTTTGGGAAATGGTAACCCCCTCTATTCAGGTCTAAACAATTGTTTCCTACTGTACGCCAAAAATACATGTTATATATCCCCAATCATTCATCATAATGTAACTACAGAAGCCAAATGCATTGTCGTCGTCGTCCTGACTTAACGCGGCAACAACAGAATTTGATGAAATGAATATTACCGTAACCTTGCCGAGTTAACTGGCTTCATCTGGGGGAGGAACAGGAGATTGTGCATGACCACACCCCGGGGCCTCGGCCATGGTCACAGTTGCACTTATATTCCATTAACACCAGCAGTCGTTCGCTTCATTGGCTCAACAGTGTGTAACAGAGGCGTGACCAATTGCCCAAGCGGCTAATGAGCCAATCATTTGGTGAAGAGGATAAAAGGAAAAGAAAAGTAACAGAGACGTGACCGATCGCCCAAGTGGCTAACGAGCCGATCAGTGGTGAAGAGGATAAAGGTAATGTTTTCAGGGGAGTGTAGTAGTATAGTGGTTGTTGAGATCAGCCTCACCAGGACTATCAACTTCTCTTGGCTCTAATGGATAGAAGAATGTGTAACTCTTCATTCAGAGACAAACATTAGTGAGAAAAATGCCAATGCTTGTTTGGCCAATTATACAATGCTATATTACATGTAACATATTATAAATGTACTGTACTAGTTTTTGATGTGTTATGTCTCAATAGTCCAGGTACAAATCAAATCGGGATAAATTGTCATAAATTATCCTGAATTAGTTAGAACTGCAATTTATTTTACATTACATTGTACTGTACACTGTAATATGGCAGGGGAACTCCGGGGTGTTTGGGAAGGAAACAACATGTGACCAGGTGAGCGTGTCACACATGCCAGACAACAGGGTTGTCACTGGGACCTCCACTGGACACCTCTACATCTGGAGCAAATCTAAGCTGGTCTCTGCCATCAAAGACGTCCATCCAGTGAGTTGTACATTCAGTGAATATCAATAGTTTTACATAAAGAATGCAGTACACAGACTATTCTATTCTTGAAATCATAAGAGACAATCCATACCTCTCACTAAACTCTATCCTCGTTCTCTTGAAATACTAAAAAGAACTACGGTAAATTACTTAAAGCAACAGGAAGAGCCACCCATGATTTATTTCTTTACAAATCTGCTTTCAGTTCATATTTGTGTTAAATTTTGCTCTTGCACAGTATGGATTTTTTAATTTTACACTGTATAAACCTGTAAGAATGTATCCTCAAGGCATAAGTATCCATGTTTAATTGATTTAGTGGATTACTGTATCAGGAGCTGCCCTATAGAATTTACCATGTACGTACATTTACTCCGTTAAATTAGATTATAACCTGGTACAGTATCTTCATTTGCGAAAATTAATTTGGCTTTATTCTAACATTAGACAACAGAAGGTATTAAAGGGTAATTTGTTTCAAATGAAATTGCTATTTTTGCATTAATACTCTAGTTATGTTGACAGGTGTTAAAGATATTAATTTTTTGGTGTTAAATTAAAAAAAAAAATTATGTCATGACAAAATTACAGGATTTATTGTGTGTGAAATATATCAGAGCCTCATAAAAGGTTAAGTTATTGCAGCAATCATCCCTTTTCCCTACTCTAGTTTTCTATTCAGTTGAAAAGTTTATTTGCATGTGACATAAACTAGATACAGTACTGTAGTTATATTGCTGCCTTGGTCTGAAGAAATGACCTGTTCAACACTGTTTTCACTACAATATACAGAAGAATGGCGCCTTTAACAACCAGGATGTGTAGTGGCATACTGTTGTGCCTGACCTTATTTTTGGTATTGTATTTTCCTGTAGTGGAGCAGATTGTTCCATGTAAAATTTTTGTCTGTCAGTTTTTGATAACTCTGATGGAAGGAAAACAAATTGTCATATAACGTTATGTGACACAAATGTGCATTTACAAATTTTTGGTCCATTCATTAAAACTTTTCTCTCAGTAAACATGATTTTTTTTAAACAATTGACAACTTATTACATGCCAATTGTGACTCATCTTTCCTATTTCTTTTCTTTTTTCTTGGTAGGTCACTGTTTCAGAATATATTTATTTTATTTTTTAATATCTCAGCTTATACAAACTTACAATAGTACTGTATAGTACTTGAAATTTGTTTATTTTTATCATGGTGTTAGAGGCACTGTCTGTAGGTAAGCAGATAAATACAGTCAAGTGAAATCTAAAAATTAAGTTATTCCTTGAACAAAATAGCTCATCTCTTCCTCTCTTTCACTGTCCCAATCCTTGTGTGACATGGTGGGCATGGTGGTGACAGGGTGGAGTGCTGGTGACGGAGGTGTACTCTGGTGGTCTGCTCAGTGGGGGAAAGGATGGCACCATTGGTGTTTTTGACAAGCAGCTCAACAGGGTGTCTACAGTCCCAGGTAAATGATAACAGACTAGCATTCATCGTACTACCTATCCTATGCTGTACTGAGTTATATACAATTTATATTATTCTATGTATTATTACAAGAACAAAATTTAGTGATAAACTATGTGTAAGATTTTTTCAGGAGCTCCAAGCTTGGTTTATGAAGTTGCAGGACCAATACATTCTTTAGCTGTACACAATGAAAAAGTGAGTACAGGGTATTATATGTTTAATCTAAACCATAATGCAAATATTGTACTGAAATTATCATTGTTGAGAAAATGTGGAATTTTTAAAAAATAATTTTGTACTTTGCTTTCATAAATAAATTAGTGTGTGACGTAGAAATAATATTAGCCCTGTAATGATGTTGATGATAATAATAATTATAAAATTAGTAATAATAATACAGGTAGTTACAGTGATAGTAATACTGTACTGTAATAATTATAGTTACACCAACAATGAATTAACCCCTTCACTATGGGGACATCACTTTTAATATTTCATTTGGCTAATGCCAGACAATTTTATTCAGCTCAGAGGTGACCTCATACACAAAAGGGTAATGTCTTTTGTACTCAGCATTATAGAGAACCAATCAGTGTTACAATGTAATGTTGACAGATAATAGTTGGGACAGAGAAGAATGAGGTTTGGACAGTAAAGGTGGAGCATGATGGAGGGCTTGGGGCAGCCTGTGTGGTACAGGGCCATGGTTTAGGGGAGGTGTGGGGGCTGGCCACACATCCCACCAGATCTGTGGCCATCACTGCTTCAGATGACCATACAGTCAGGTTAATTCTTTGCTAAACAGTGTACACATGCACACAGGCATACAGAGGGCCACTGCACTGAGCAGTAATATTGCAAAGTACCTGTATAATATTTCACACTTGCTCAAAAGTCTGACACAGTTTGCCAGCATGTGTTTTAAAGAGTGTGTGTGTGTGTATTGCAGGTAGGAGTTAATTTTTTAATACCTCTCATCAGATGTACTATTAGAAATCCCTTCATACAGAGGTTGGCGAGACAATGTTATAGATTATGTCTAATGCATTTATAGTACAGGTATATGTACTATATATACTGTATATGTCATCATCATCAATGTTTTATGGCCATTTTCCAGGCTTGCCTGGGTTAACTACAATTTCCTAATGGCAGCTCTTGTGGTGTGTCTTACAGTCTATTTTGTCTGGTTTTAAACTCTGATTAATCATTTCTTACAACCTCTCCCCATGTCATTCTTGGCCTACCCCTGGCTTTCCTCCCTTCAGTTCTTAGACTTGTGCATTTCTTATTTACCTATTTTACCTAATGGCCACCCACTAGAGGCAGCCATGCCGAGGGAAGGAGGCCAGTAGTGTAGGATCCGTCCATTGTTCTTTATAGTATTATTTAGGGTTGTTTTGAAGCTCGGTACTCCTCTCGATTCCACAGCTTAAACTGGTAGACTGTTCCTTAGATCTGTCATGCTCAACCCAAACCATCTCAACATACCCTTTTTCAATAGAGTACTCTCAATACCCAGCCACTTTCTTAACTCTGAATAGGATTCTATTATTTTTTGAAATATTGCACATCTACCTGACCATTCTCATTTCAGCTTGCTTAATACCTGTACTATATTTGTCATCTTCTTTAACTGTCCATGTTTCACTGCCATACAGCATCATATTTCTCATGATAGTTGTATACACCCTTCCTTTCATACAGAGGGAAGGCCCTCTTTCCATCAATAAAGGCAGTGCAATACTGCAACTTCGTAGACTTCTGCCATCCACTTCTGACTCTTGCAACTGAGCTAGCTTCAGCATGGAGTAGAACTCATCAACATGGTACAAGTGTTGAGTTTCTCGAGCCTTGCTAAGGCTACACAATAACTTGCACATACTATACAAGGGTTTACTGTACTGCATGTACACCATATACCTGCATTGTCTATACACAAGCTGAACTGTATACCTGCAGTACCAATGTACTTACCAAACCAATTTTAAATTTGTATGACAATTTTACTGAATAAATATTAATATTATTATTTTCACAAAGCTGTGAATAGTCTCGGTCTTGGTCCCAAAGGTCAGGTTTTCCTCTTAACAGTCAGGTTTTAGTCTCAACAATCAGGTCTCGGTGGTCTTGACTGCATCACTGATAGACACATGTACTGTATACTGTAAGCACACATACTGTACAATGTTGGGAGTAGTTTGCTTTAGCTCTGCATGTTGACACAGTGTTGGAGAACCTGTTTACTGCACTGCACTCCCTTTCAAACACACAATGTATCATTTATGGTCAGCCTTATATACATGAGGAACCAAACAAGTGAAGAAACAAATAATAGTAAGGATAATTGTAAAAAGTGCTACAGAGATAGAAGAAAAGTAGATATGAAGGATAGTACTAAATGTTGTAATGTGTTGGTCACCATCAAGTGGCCAGAAAACTGAATGAAAATTACTAGAAAACCAAAGCCTTTTTTTTTTTTCAACTCGGTTGTCCTAACCTGATAACTGTGGTAGAGAGTGATTTGCCAATCAACCCCGAGTGTGCAAAAAACACATATCTATTTTCCCTGAACATCATTTTAACTCATGTGGATTAAAAGATAGTACAGTGACCCCTCGTTTAATGAACGCCTCGGTTAACGAAATTTCGGTTAACGAACTGCCTTCCATAAGGATCTTCAATTCGGTTAACGAATTTCTTACGAACCGACCTCAACATGTTTTCGCTTGCACTGACCGGGCAACCAGCTTTAGTATCAGTCCGCCAATACATTAATCGGTTCTAGGGCTTAAATTCCTTACTATTTTAGTAAATATCAAGAAGTTTATACTATTCAATAATTTTAAAAGTTTAATATTCAATTTTTTAGTCATTTTAACGATTATTGAACATAATTGAAGGTAAAGTGACTAGTTTAATGCGCGGCATCCAGCCTCTTAACACAGCAAACAGGTGTTAGTCTCTCTGTTTTCACTGGAGGTAACATCTTGCTTGAGACTCTCTTCAACTAAACACTTTTTTCTGTGTTTCCAAGCAAATTATTGGTCATTTTGAAATATATTTTACATTTTGACAATATATAATGCAGTGCAGTGTTGATTTAAAGAAAATAATCTTGAATTACACCAAGAGAGCTAAAATTTTATGGGTGAAATGGCGCCAAGGGGTGACTTCTCTTCCACCCCAATGCCTTCTCTTCTTCCTTCTCCTCCACCCCCATTCTAAATCCCATCATCATCATCATCCAGGAGCCTTCTACAAACACACCTCAAAGTAAGTGAACTTTTCTCCCATTTTTGTTGAATTTAGGAAATTTTCGGTGAGCTGGAACCAATTACCCAAAAACCCATTGAAACAATGGTTTCGGTTAACGAACGACCTTCTGGAACGGATTGAGTTCGTTAACCGAGGGGTCACTGTACTTGTATGTAGAGGAATGTGAAAACCAAATAAGAATCTATTACTTACCTTTGTTTAGCCACCAGTCTCTCTTAGGGCAGAAAAGGGATTCTAACCTCTATTACTCACCCCAACACTCAACTTAATTGACAATTTCACTAAAAGTAAATACTGTACAGTATAGTTAAAACTTTGAACATCACTCCCAATGGATCTTGAATGTTTCTGCTTTAAGTAGGTACAGTATATATATCTTATGGTAACACATAGGCATTCATTCGTAATTTTAAATATATTTAAAACATTAACATGGGATTTTGTGAGGTTTCTGAAGTGGAGGATAGAGAAAACTTATGTCTCAGTGGGGTAACTCGAGAAACTGGCATGTATAAACGTCTCATACTTGACCCCGCAAGATATAAAAAAAATTTGCACGCTGCATTGAAAACACTCTGAATTCCACAATGTTTGTTGCAGCTATAGGACTATTAAGTGAATAAGATCAATCAGTGTTAGGGTAAACTCTGCATATAAGTAAAAGACTAACTTTTTCTGTGTTTTGACCATTTCTCAACTTCAAAGGTGACTATAAGGATAATTTACTGTAATCTGTATTTCTAACCATAAGTTTTTGATATATGATATTTTAACAGACTCTGGGACTTAGAAGAGAGGCGGCCCATGACAACAATTGTTGTGGAGAAGGCAGCTCGGGCGGCAGCTTTCAGTCCTGATGGTCAGGATGTGGCAGTGGGCCTCAGTCATGGTATTTTTATAATTCTTCAAGCCGAGTGAGTTGCCACATCTTTCAATTAATGTTTATTGGAAATTGCACCAGATGCTCTTGTTAATACTGTTTTTACGTTATTACTGTGCATTATTCTTTTAGCTACCTGTATAGCATTTTCATTAGGCTTTCTTTCTTCTCAGATTTACCCAGTTTTATGCTGGTTCTCTTCAACGCCTTTATTGTTTTGATTTTAGTTACATGTGTCCATGACTCATGTTATAGTTGAAACTTTCAACATCACTCTCAATGGATCTTGAATGTTTCTGTTTTAAGTAGGTATAGTATATATCTTATGGTAACACATAGGCATTCAGTTAACAAGTTGTCTCCTCATAATGTTCCGTCCTCACAGTTAATGCTGCCTCAGGTCATCATCAATGTACAGTATCTCATATTTCAAAGATTTACCTGGTGGTTATGTTTCAAGCAAATTATTTGTAATCCATCCAGCATCCTAATTAGTTCTGTCTGTATTACATTATAGATCAGTTATATATATTTCCATCTGTTATCATCAATGTAGCCTTCAATTTTTATCTATACAGTATTTCATTGTGATATTCTGTACTGTATTACAGTACAGTATACCATTTCATTGTGGGTTTTTTTCATGATTATTTGCCATTTGGTCAGGCACCTGGAGGAGAAGTACCGCATAAGTGACCGCAAGGAAGTACGACATGACCTAAAGTACTCACCGTGTGGAGAAACCCTAGCTGTTGCTTCAAATGACAATTTTGTAAGGCATTTTAGTATTTTTATATTTATTAAGCGTATTGTGGTTGATAAACAACAGTGACAATTTTATGAATAGGTTATGTTTCATTGGATTTTAATTGTACATGTCAGAGGCATAAGAAAATTCTGGCATTTTTTAAATACTGTTACTACCACTGCAGGTTTTCAGCTGTATGGTATTTAATAATGAGACTACAATACTGCTATATATACATAGATATTGCCAGTGCCGGATTAACCATGAGGCACTTGAGGCACTGGCCTCAGGCCCCCCGACTCTAAGGGGCCCCCAAATCCAAACATATATATATATATATATATATATATATATATATATATATATATATATATATATATATATATATATATATATATATATATATATATACAGGTATACCTTGAGGGTAGGGGGCCCCAAGTTGATCTGTGCCTCAGGCCCCTATTAAGCAAAATCCGGCCCTGGACATTGCAATACAAAAGAGCTGAATGCAGATGCAGTTATACAGTAAGTTCTCACATAACTTCGTAGTTCCGTTCCTGAAAACCGCGACATTAATGGAAACAACGCTAACGGAATAAATTTTCCCAATAAGAAATATATAAAATATGGGAGTTACGTTCCACAGCCTCCCTTTGCCCCATAAAATACATTACATATACAGAAAAAAATGGCATTTTTATAGAAAATAGTGTACGTATACAGTATATAAATAAAGTAAATCATTTTGTATTATACTCATTGATGGGCGGAGGTGGTGGAGCGAGTGTGATGGATGGGTAGTGGAGAGGAGGAGGAAGGTGGGAAGTCACTGAGACCCGGCGGGTGGCTCCTCCTCCCGCTTTGACTAGGGATTCTCCACTGCTGTTTGCTCCTCCTCCTCACTGCTTAGTGCTCCTCTTCTTTTTGTCCTTAGATCTCATTATATCAACTAAGAGTTTCCTCCATGTTGCATACAATCTTTGAAGGAAGATATGTTATCATGTGCTGCTTGAGTGCATTGTGGTTGCATGGATTTCATTAATTTTACGATGGGAGAGACGAATACAGTCCAATACAGGTCTCTTTTTGTAAGTGACATGTGCTCGTTTCTCTCACATCAACTGTTGCTATCAATCAGGTGGACATTTACAAGGTTGACAAGGAATATGAGAGGATTTATGTGCTGAAGGGCGCCTCTTCCTTCATTACACACCTGGACTGGTCCAGTGATTGCAACTACCTCCAGCTCAATTCTGGTGATGGCGAGAGACTCCTCTATAATGTTGCCAGTAAGTTCATATGTAAGAGAATTCCATTGGAACAATTCTTTAATGATGATTGCTTACTTAAATGAATGTATTATAAGTTCAAAGAAAGTGTGTCTTTCATTCAGCATGCTGCAGTGTTGAGTGCATTCAATTTTAGGAGTGATTTTAGAAATAGCTGTTTGTGTTCAAGTACTGTACTGGTAGAAAGATATATTTGTGATAATGATATTGTGTACAGTTACCAATCACGTTTTAGGAATTTTAATTCAACTGATACCTGCTTGATCCATCTCAGTGGCAATACCACACTCTAAAAAAGAAAGACCCTGATTTATGAAAGGGTTTTGTTCCTGAAAAACTTCTCAAAATTTTTTTTTCCTTAATCTAGGCACATATACCATAGAATCTCATTATAAAGCCGAGATCCATTCTTATGACAAAAATCTTCCCTACACATCTCATGTTACTTGTTTCTAAAATAAATTATTATTATTATTTTTTATTGGAATTGAACTTTTAATATATACTGTATATACTGTATATATATAATTTTTATTTACTTTTTTTTGCAGAGGAATCATTGGTTGATGAAAGTGACATCCCAGGTGTGGAGTGGTCATCCTGGACTGGGGTTCTGGGACCACAGGTGAAAGGCATCTGGCATAAATATGCCGATCTTTCAGATGTTAATGCCTGTGATGCGAACTTTTATTTTGGTGTTATGGTGACTGGAGATGACTATGGCCTTGTCAAGCTTTTTAGGTTTCCTTGTCCAAAAAAGGGTAAGAAAAATATTGATTCTTTAATTCAGACAACTTCAAAATAGAATAATTATACGTAAAGTAAACAAGTTTACATGGGTTCCTCGTGTTTTTAGGCTATTGCTTGGGGTATAGGCTGCTAATTGGGACATTATTTATTTGGGGACAACATCTAGTTTTTCAGTCTGAGTCTATTAACCCAAATACAATAGGTACACCAACCATTCCCACCTCGTACTACAGTGGTTCTTTAGGGATGGGAGGCATTACAGTAACTGACCAACCAACACACTGCTTGCCATAAGTTATAGCTCCTCCATGGTAGAATCTTTCCCTTGCCAAACATCATCAAGAGCAGACTTCCATAGACTGACTGTTCCCTGTACAGTACTGTTTACTTAGAAAAAATCTGAAGGTCCCATGACTTATGATGCAACAAAAATTATTGGCTGGAAACACAAAAGTTATAGGTGCTGTCTTCTAAGTTAAATTATTCATATTAATAAGTTCAATATTCATTGTTTTGTAAGGTTTGTTTACATTATTTTCTGATCTTTATGAGTCTGGGTTTGTCTATACTGGAGTGTATTACAGCCATGTGATGTAAAAGCTAACCCTTAGTCCTCCCTGGGTTTCTTGGCCCAGTTGGCTAGGAACTATATCAAATATAGTGGATTGGTCCTGAACTTTATGGCTAAACCATGGTCTGGTGCAAATTGTGTTGTTTGGACAAACACAGAGGGCAACTGTTACACCTAATCTCTAACCACCTCTTGGGTTGATGAAGTAATTAAGAGGTAGCAGTTTGGGTTACTATGTTACCTCAGGCTGAATTACTAGGGGTTATGTACGGTAAGTGAAGTGAGTTCCCCAAAAGGCAGCTTGTTTAAAAAAAGCGGCCAAGTTCTGCAAGGAAAATAAATTTTAGGATCAATCCCTGCCATTTTTCTAGGACTTAGTTTTATATGAATAGCTTGTAGAAAATTTTTCATTGTAAACAATTGAAAATTAAATTTGATTAATCCTTAAATGTGATTTTATGTTTTTAACTTTAGGTTCCAAGGGTCGGAGTGTAGTGGGCCACAGTGCACATGTGACCAATGTACGCTGGACCAGCGACTCTGAGTATGTAGTGTCAGTGGGTGGTGCAGACCATGCTGTTTTCCTCTGGAAGTTCCGATCATCACGGAGGATCTCTGCTCCTCATCAGACAGGTTACACATCTCACATTACTACCATTAATTAATTAAAAAAAAAAAAGTGATATAAATAAAAAAGCCCTATTCCAACAAATGACTGAGAAAAAAGAAACACAGAGCGTGATAATCCTAGATTATGAAATGTCTAATTTCTTTACGTCCCCATGTTGGAAATTTTTTCTAATGCCCGAACTGTAGAGATTTTCTTGGAATTTTCTCATAATTTTCTGGATATGTGTATGATGAAATCCTCGGAAATTCAGTCAGGATATCCGGAATGGAGAGATTTTTCCCGCAACTTCTCGTAATGCTAAAAAAACAAAAAACATTAAAACATCAGCTATTGGATAGTTCTGGGCATCAAAGATTCAAGCTAACGGAGAGATTAATATATATATATATATATATATATATATATATATATATATATATATATATATATATATATATATATATATATATATATATATATATATATATATATATATATATATATATATATATACACACACACACAGTTACTGTATTATTATCATCATTATTTTATTATTTTATTTTTGTTTGTTTTATCATAAACTTATTTATTATGACTATCAGTATTTAGTTTTATTATTATTATTATTATTATTATTATTATTATTATTATTTTTATTATTTTTATTATTATTATTATTATTATTATTATTATTATTATTATTATTATTATTATTATTATTATTATTATTACATTTTTGCCCCCCAGGCCCCGATGTGGGTCAGTGACCTGTCTCCGGGTGGGCTAATCCCCATAAAAAAAAAAAAATACAGGAGGTTGATTTATGCATATATTTTCCCACACACAGTGAGGTTACCATCTGCAGTGGAAGGAGAATCAGAGGATGACATAATAGATACAGAAGATGAATTGGAGGGTATTCCAGAGCTCACCCAGGACTTGGAGCAAGAATTAGCAGTGAACAGAAGGAAAACCGGGTTGTTAATTCAGATATTCCTTGGAATAATATATTTCATTGAAACTTGTGAATTGGCAAATATATATACCTATATATAAAAACAGTATCTTGAGTGTGTACATTAAGTTTGTTTGATATTCAGAAAGTTTTGTTGATTTGTTTAAATACACCTGTATATTGTTTTCAATTTAGTTTAAGGATAATGAATTTCCTTATTTTACAATACTTTCAGTACTAGACGGCAGAATAAGAATGGACGGGGAAACAGACCAGTGACTGGGGTTGAGATAGCCGAGGAATCTACATTTACAAGGCGTCGAAATGCTAAGAGTGGTAAAGCAGGACATGATACTCCACCCCCTCAATGTCTTCGCATAAAACATGTGTTTGGGTATGCTATGAACATATCAGATAAGTAAAACTAATTTTCATTTAAAAAACACTTACACTTTATAAAGCATGATATTTTTTAATTTTTTACTCCAAAACATTTTAAGTGAATTTTCAAACATGAGAAGATACCATATTTAACAGTTTCTTTGTGTTACAGATACCATGCCCATGAATGTCGCAACAATGCCCATTGGCTGAAAGACGGACAAGTGGTGTATCACGTGGCTGCCATAGGTGTGGCCATTGATCCGAGCACAGGAGTCCAAAAGCATTACCTCCACCATACTGATGATATTCTCTGTCTTGCTGTACATCCCCAGGGGCAACTGGTTGCTTCAGGTCAGGTGGGAAATAATTTGTCAAGTGTATTTTGATGAGTTATTTCTTTTACCAACAGGAGGAAGTAGGCAGCTATCAAACACTACCGCCTGGGAAGATATTGTAAACATAATGGCATCACAAAAATTGTGACCAAGTCCCAGGTTGCTGATCTGGCTTTCTGCCTCATTTACACACATTTACAGGGTCTCATTTGTTTCTCTTACTTTGACAACACAACTTACGTTTAGTATACTGTATTGTTTCTCACTCTTGATCTTTTATTATTACAGTATTATTATTCTTGAAGGGGGTGCGCAGTGCATACTCATGCTTTCCCATGTTTCATATACTACAGTATAATGGATGGTGCAATATTGAAAAAATTACCCTGTAAAGTTTCCTTATTTAATTTTTTGTATTTTATTTCACTTTGTGGTTATTATGATGTAAATATAACGGAATTCATGTATTTCTACAATTCAAGATAGGACGAGAGGCTACTGTACATGTGTGGGATGCAACAGATATGAGGATAATGTCACTGCTGCAGGGAGGACATATGCGGGGTGTGTCTAGTGTAGCCTTCAGTGGTGATGGGGAGCGGGTTGCTTCATTAGGCTTGGATGACTACCACACTGTTGTTATCTGGAACTGGCTAAAGGGATACAAGATTGCCTCAGCCCGGTGAGTGTGATTGGCTATTCATCATAGATTATAAGTAAGTGTTCTGTTACAAATGAATGTGAAAGTCAATAACTTTTCATGCAGGTTAAACCCTTGTAATCCAGCAACCTCTGTTGTTTTACATGGTTGGCAATCTTGGCATTAGTTTGCAAAACTGCATGGCGAGGGTAGTGTCCCCGTTACCAGTCCTCCAACAGAGTTTGCTTACATCTGCTGACCTGGATTATCAGTCTTCTATTTTGTGTTCTGTGCTTTTCTTTAGCTCATAATTTTCCCTCTACCATAGCTTCAAAGAGATCAGGAGGTGGTGGAAGTGATGATAATGCAACTTAAACCACACTGGGCTTATGTAAGGTACACACACCAATATTCCCTCCAAGCTCATTTTATTAAATAATACTGGTACTGTATTTTTTTTTTAATTTAATATTTTCAAGACAAACCCACCAGATATTAAGACACTGTTCAGTACTGTATTAAAATATACAGTAAATCTATACTCTGTGAGACTCAATGTGTTGAGCATGTTCTCATTATTCTGTATGAATAATTTTATCACTGATGTTAAAGTGATAGTCCCTTTAGTGTTGACTTATTTTTGTATTTATAGAGGACATAGTGACAAAGTGTTTGGGATGAGGTTCAGCCCCACTAACAACAATCGCCTTGTGACTTTCGGCATCAAGCACATAAAATTTTGGTCACAGGCTGGAGGTGGCCTCACTTACCGCCAGGTTGTGCTAGGTCCAAAATTCAAACAGGTAAGATGATACTTATAAATTCAATTTATAATTTTTGCAGGATCAGGAGTTTTTAATTTGAACTTTCTTAGCATAAAGATAGCCACCCAGATATTTGTTTTGGGTGCCTGGGTGAACTCTAACCTTGGAAAAAATGGATCATTCCTACATAGGCTTCTTTATCCTCATCCACAGTAAAGTACCACCTTGTTATGTGTCACACTATTGACTTCCATGTTCTACTGCTGTGATTATTATTTTCCCTTATTTGTATCTTTCTGAGTTTCTATTTTTTCCCGCTTCATTCTTTCTGCTTCCCCACATCTTTGTTCTTACACAAACACTACTGTAACCTTGTAATAGTAACTTGGACCACCATACTGTATAAGGTCTCTATTGTTGCCAGAGTCTCTATAGAGTTGAGCAGTTATGACTGGAGTCAGTGAAGTAAGGATATCCAGTGTTTAGTTGACCCTTTTGACTCACTATTGTGGTGACTTTCAGAATACTGTGCTCTGCAGCAGTGTTGGTGGTGGTGAGGGTGCATCAGAGTGGTGGCTCCTTGGACTGTCATCAGGTTATGTGTTTGTTGTCAAGGATGCCAAAGTGGAACGAAGTGTAAAGGCCCATAAGGTGCCAGTGTATGCTATACTAGTAACCCAGGAGGTAAGTTAACCCGAGTTGGTAAGGTATTTTGCTTTTCAGCTATCCGAAATTCACATTTCGGAATCTGATGGGGCGATTAATGTTGTCTTTACAATTTTAATTTATTTTATTTATTGTATGGTATATATCTATTCTTTTATAAATTGTATTTTTATTGTATTTTTTCAATTTCTAAAGGTATTTTCTGTTACTTTCTTGTTATTTAATTATATTCTGATCTTAGGTTTACCTGAGAAACCCCTTTTTACCTTACAGTCTTCAATACTCACGGTAGCTGCCACCACCCAGGTTTTTCTATCGGAATATATTTAAGAACATAACATTAACCTCTTAAATATGACACTTGGTTGGTAGTAACGTGGCTAAGGCTAGGCTCGTGGGTCTAATGTATTCTCTGTGCAAATTATGAGGGATAATGAAAGGTGGATACTGCAGTGGTAATGATATCACAAAAAACATTAAGATTATTTATTGCAATGAAGTCAAGTATAGGAACACATCAATAGAACACAAACACATGAACCACTCCTTGAGGTTCACTCAAGGCTTGGCCAAATCTAATTTAACATGGATACAAATTATAAGGACGACTTGGTCCTACTTCTAGCTTAGCAAAAACAAATCTTAAATTTAACAGAAGCAATGTTCATTAGAAAAATACTAAAACTTACTGTAATATTCTACTATAGTGACACGAAAATAATGAATCTTTACCACTTCATTTCATTACCACTTATACAGGTACTAATACTTGTACATACTTTATAACACTCTCCAAAAATCCGGCACAAAGTTTATATTTGTGTACAATTTACTCTGGGCATACACATTAACAGAACTCCTTGACACAACCTTACCTTTCGTCAGTTTCTAATAATATACCTATTAACCCTCTTTACAACACAGAACACTTTGGTATTCACCTTTTCAGTGAGAATAATATACTTCGGACTGATACATACAGGATTAATTACCACCAGGCTTATGCCAGCTAGGATCTAAACATTGGGGTGCGTTCACACTGAGCGAATCCAATGCTGACCTCAAGTTCTGAAGCTGATTCTTGGATTCGGTCTGTACATCCTACCCTGCTGTACCAGTAGGCCTTAGGCTCAATCATGGTTTATTCAATATATCCTGTCTGCACTGGCCACTGACCCTTAGGAGTTCCAGTAACATATGCAGTCCTTGTTAGGCAGAGAATAAAGCTTTGAAAATTATATAAATGAAAACACAACGGTTACAAAATACGTCTTGGTGCAAGGAAACAAATGCACATGAATACTTAACACCCTAAACCTTAAGTTGCGTTAAAGCAGGAACACTAATACTGCAAACAAAATTCAACTAGTCAAATTCACTTAATATGACCGTATCAGACAGAGTAACATACCTGTTATACAGAGAATAAGACGTTCAAAGTGAGCTTTCAAGGGCTGTGCTCTATTTTATACCCCAGGGTTACATAGTTGGTATCAGCCCAGGGTTACATATTTGGTACCAGCTACAGTACACCTTGGCTTATGAAAATTAATAATATGGGTCTACATTAATTCTTGAGGCTAATCCTTATAATCTAATCAGTTTTTGAACTTGCAATGTATCAATTAAATTGGTTACAAATACTCAGATTCACATACTCATTTCTTGTGAAGTAAGCGTTTAAGAAATGTGTATTATGTAATGATTTACCCATGGCCGTTAGACGACCAGACTGGAGGCTTTGACATTTTCTGATCAATGTTTTAAGACTTTCTTTAATAGTAACATGACAATTACTTCAATACAGTCATCAGGTTCTATGATGGCTGCGCATCAAAGACATATAACATAAGTTTTTTATGGATAACTCGTAACTTGACAAATTTGGTTGGGAATTCATATAGTACATCATCTGGGTACAGTTTTAACTACCGTACATTTAAATATAGTTGAAGCTTTGAACATATTCCTACTGAATCATGAATGCTTCACCAACTGGTTGGTATACATAACTTAATGCTACTCATACCTGTTATATCATAAGTTTAAATTTACCTTACAGGGGCAATACAGAAAACAAGTCTCTCTAGGAGTAACTCACTAGTTTCATACATGCTTTATAGATGACGGAGCATAATATGAATAAGCATGGGTGTGAAAATATTATGAGTACAACTGTGCCCATGACACTGAAAGGCATATGAAATGAGTTTTGAGATGCAGAAGAAAAATTTTCTCTTGCAGAAAATCTTTCAGAAGTTAAGGAATTAAAAATGGGGAAAAAATGTATGAACCTTGCCACCCACCAATATTTTGCTGAATATAAAATAAAATCAATAACTGTTCTGTATATAAGGACACTTAAACTAAAATGACATACAGTATATAAAGTAATCAAGGATACAAATTGTCATGAAAATGACATACAGTATATAAAGTAATCAAGGATACAAATTGTCATGTGCTCACTCTCCTGAGGCAACCAAAATAACATAGGTCAGCTGCAACAAGATCTCACTGATTGGCTGTTTAGTCGTCACCTGGCTAGTGAGTTGGCCAGCAGTAAATTATTAATATACAGTACGTGTATATTGAGATTAGTAAAGCTGGACTCGGTCACATTAGGTTTGTTTGGCCATGTTAGGATTACTTTGGTCATGCATATATGAACAAGAAAAATGTTACTGCATTTTCATATTTTACTGGAGAATTAACACTCAATGGGAATGTAGCTTGGAAACAAAATATTCTTCCAAAGGAGTTATTTTAATATGTTACAGGGAGGAAATTTGTTTCTGTGGAAACACATCTCCAATGATAAGATTGAAGTCAGTGGGAAAGTAAGTTTTGAGTTACAGAATTTCAGTTTATGAGAAACTTTTCAGGAACTTAACTTTTCTGTCACTTGAGGGATAACTTTATGAAGATGTTTTTTAATCTGTACTTAATGTTTTATTTAAGGGATTGTATCTATGTATGGCTTAATAGAAATATGTTACTGAATCACTAATATTATTATACATAGGATTACGAAGTTATTCATGATTTATTTGTACCTTCAGTATACTATATTTCATGAAATGGAGAAATTATTGATAATAGTGCATACCTGTATGCTAGACAAGACATATTATTGATAACAATGTTCACCTGTAGTATGCTGGACCGAACAGTACTGCATAAGATTAAGAAATTATTCATAATATTGTTTTGAATGTTTCACTAGTAATGATAGGTCTTACTTCTGTATTGTAATCTGATAAAAACTTTTGGTTAATCTCAATATACCCGGGAAGACATTTGTAAATGTCAAAATTATACAGAGTTGTGTGTGTAAAAATAAAAAGCAATACCATTATCTTCAATTATTTATATCAGAGCATATGGACAGCTGGGCAGGGTGGCTACGTGTGCAAGTGGGATTCAGAAATGAAACGAAGTGTGAAGGTGTTCCCTGTAACAGACCACTTCCTAGAGAATTCTGCTGCTTTTGGCCTCACTTCATCCCAACCAGGACTACGAAGTCTCTCCGCTGCCCCAGGGACCGACTTTCCCCTTTTGGTGGCTACACAACATGCTGAAATTCTCCTGATGGATGCTGATGGAATGTTTACTGTTTTGGTGCAGGTTAGTGTATATATTTATATATATAATTTTTTTACATGTACAGTAACCTCCCCATTAGCTGTAATTTCCGGTCCCTGGAACTCTATAATAGCTGGAATGAATTTTGAACCTTCCGGGAAAACTCTTTCCATTCTGAGCATGGGAACGAGCCTCTGAGGATGAAATCATGCACATTTTCTGGAAAAATTCTGAGGAAATCTCTCCGTTCTGCGCATGGGAAAAAATTTTCTGGGAGTTCCAAGATATTGCATCAGGCTCTGATGTGTCAATATGTTTCCCCACGTTTTGGGCACATGGGTGGGCTAGCTGCTCGAGTGACTTAGGCCGTAGGCTCGCACGCCTTGTTCATATTTTGCTGGTATTGTACAAGGTTGTTCCCTCGCTTGCTGCTGTATTTTGCGTACAATTTGTGCAGCACTGTACATGATTGTACCAGAACACATTCAGCCAAGAATACTGTAGTATAGTGTTAAAGCAGTGTTAAGATGTCAAAAAGTGATTACAGTTACATACTGTACTGTATACTGTACTGTACATTCAGTAAGTGTGAAAGTACTGCACATACAGTACTGTACTGTACATAGCAGAATGGACAGTAAATGCCTACTGTAGGCTAGTGTGTATAGGTGTATAGTATGGTACAGTGCGTATGCAATCCCTCCTTCGTAAAGGGAGAGGAGAGTGACAGTTAGTAGCACCTGCTACGGTAGATGTTTATTTCTCATATATTGTGTACAATGGTGTTTGTGTAAATACATACCACTCTGTGTCTGTCTATGCAAGATTTGTAGGTTTGCCTCTCGGAAAACTTTCTCTAGCATCCGGAAACATTCCGGAGATGTGTATTAGTGTCTGTTCGTGCAAGATGCATAGTTTAGACTCTCAGTAAACTTACCCCAGTAACTACCCGGAAAAATTCTGGGGATGTACAATTTTTTCCGGGGATGAGAAATTTGTCTCAATACCTGGAAATCTGTCATTCCCATAAGAGCTCTGCATCAATGCATCAATTCGTCTGGCTAACAGGGATATCACTAAATATGGTTTGTGATTGGTTCTTGTCATTGTGGCTGCAGCTTCAAGATACTCCCAGTACCACAGATGATATATGTACAGTACTGTATTGCCATTTGTAGTGATGTACTGTACATGTACCCAATCTGTGGCCAATTGCTTGGTTGAAATTCTTTGGGTAGGAGTGTGCATAAGTTTATACCATGGGGTTTTGGGTCGAACACATCTCAGCTTGTAACATGGGATCCTCTGGTAAGTTCGGGTAATTGAATGAGAATTCACCTAACAAGTACTTTTTCAGGACTGCATATTGCTCATTAAATGGGACCTGCCTGTAATTTTTACCTTGTCTCTGCTTCTGTTGAACTAAAATAACAAAATCTCAATACATGCTCATACCTTTTATTTTAAAGGGCCACAGCAAGGGTGAAGTATGGGGTCTTGACACCCATCCACGACTCTTGGAAGCAGTGACAGTGGGAGGTGACAACACACTGCGCCGCTGGAGTTTGGAAGATTATGATGCCCTTGCTTCTGCCAACCTCAGGAAAACTGCTTGCTGTGTACACTTCCACCCCAGCGCTGTTTTATTAAGTCTTGGATATCTTGATGGTTAGTAAGCTCTCTTTCCTTGGCCTGAACCTCATATTAATGGTTATGCTGTGTTGCATTGACTGATTGAATTAATGTGCATAAAGTTAATTTTTGAGGTATGGTTGACTGTTAAATACTCTATCTTTGGTGAACCTTCTGTGACTGATTTGCAATAGCCACAGTGCAGTTTGCATTGAATAAAGTAAATTGTCAAGTTGTAACTTTATTCTATTCACAACTAAAAACGTGGAAATGGTTCTCAAAACTCAGAAGGTGTCAGTCTTTTTAATTCGATTCATCTAATAGTAAAAAACAAAAGAAAGTTACTAAAGATTTCCATAATGCTTTAATAAGTTTTAACTATTGACTTTATTCACAAATAGATTCATCATTGACACTGCTGTCACACAGTCTCATTTTTATTTAATAACTGTTATTATCGTTACAGGAAGTGTTGCCTTATACCTGTATCCCAGTCTAGTAAAACATGGTGGGGTACATCACAGATCTGAAGGAATCTCTGATGTCAAATTTTCTCCTGATGGACGATTTCTTGCTGTTGGGTCTCATGAGCGTGTTGTCGACATTTATGTTGTAGATACAGATGGAGACATTGTGAGTCAAGAGGGATCAGGCCTTCGCAGGGTTGGTATATGCCGTGGTGCCTCATCTTGGGTCACACATCTTACCTGGCATGAAAATTCACGATTAATCCAGATTAATACAGGTCAGATGATGATAATCTTCAACTGCTGCTGTTTTTGTTATACTTACTGAACATTTCTTCAAATATGACAAGAAAATTAAAAACATTATATATACAATATATATACTGTACAAGCCTGTATATGAGTTGTTTCATTAGAAGTGTTAATATTTGATGATGTTTTAATCACAGGAGCAGGAGAACAGCTGTTCTATGAGGCTCCTCATGGAACCCGTCAGTTAATCCCTGATTCAACTACTGCCGAGTTAGCATGGACATCTCCATTAACATGTCCGCTCGATGCAACTGTTGAAGGTGTATGGGCACCAGACATGGACCTAACAGATATTAATGCTATTGCTACAGCACACAACCTCCCAGTAGTGGCAACTGTATCAGATGAAGAGGGTCTGGTCAGACTATTTCGGTACCCATGTATGGTATGGTCGTGTAATAGGCACCAACTGTTTAATTTATATTAAAGTCATATTGAAGAAATTACCTCTGTCTGTCAGTACAGTGGTCATAAAGTGAATATGGTCCTATATACTGTACAGTATTATTATAATTCCATCTCTTTCTAGTGTTATCCATTCTCCCAGTTACATTAAAGTCATATTAAAGAATTAGAGATATACAGTATACAGCTGCTCCACGACTTACAACAGGGTTAGGGACCCAAATCCAAGTCGTAAGTCGAATTGGTCGTAAGTCGAAAATGCAAAAATAATACATAGAAAATCCAAAATGGGTGTCTCTTTTTCTTCTCAGCACCACAAAACTCTCACTTTTAAGCTTGCCAGCCATTTTAAAGGTAATTATAAACAAAAATTTTGTCAGTACACAGCGCAATCATTAAAGTCGGGACTCGAAAATACGTAATTTGAAAAAATTTTGGTACGACTGGGACGGTAGTATGTCCGGGTGGTCGTAAGTCGAGTTGGTCGTAAGTCGTGGAGTGGCTGTATATCTTTGACATCTAAAGCTAGAGATAGGCTGTGTTATCTTATGCCTTAGGACCCATGACCTACAAGGTTTTTATTTAAGGTGTTTGATATATACTGTATATATATACAATACTGTACATATATAATCCATCATTAGTATAAAGAAAGAGTAAAGTACCCATATATAGTTACTGTAAAAAGGATTTTCATTTAAGAAATACCCAGGTACCATATGGAGCTGAAGAAAACTTAGAGAGTTTATTGAGGTGATAGGTAATGGTGGTGGTAGACTTAAAGGTAGATGGTAAACTTGCCTGAATAATAAAGAAAATATTTATATACAGTATATATATGTTATAGATCGGATTAAAGCAATTTATCCTGAGTAAGTTTGTTTACATTGTTTAGGGAGGACTGAAGAAGCACCGTCAGTACCGGGGTCACAGTGCCCATGTAACAAATGTGAAGTGGGTGTATGATAACTCACTGATCGTGACAACTGGTGGTGGTGACACCTCTGTCATAGTGTGGAAGGTGAGGCAAGGCTCACTGAAACAAGACAAAGAGGACACCTTACACTCTCCCCAAAATGGTGAACATACTCTTGATGATCTACCAGATGAAGGTAAATAGATATTTAACACTGTTGTTGAATTGATTTTTCTCACAAGAATTGTTGTTTCTCATACTAATCACTCTTTTTCAATATACTGTACATAGACCAATTTAGTCAGCTCCTTTGCTTGGTTTAGCTTGGATCTTCACTCACGCAAATAATCATATGTAAAGGGTATTTCATGATGTGTTAAGTTTTTGTGAAATTGGTATTTTGTTAGTTTATTTGCTTTCTGCAGTTAATACTTTTTTATGGAATTAGGGACCTCAATGCTATTTCAACCTTTAAATTTAATTGTCTTGTGTGACACAGGATAAAAGTGTGTAAGTTTACAGAAATATGAGTCCAGTACAGTATTGAAGTACGGTATATGTCATAACTAATTCATTAAAATCAAGAAGAAACAATACAGTACAAGGCTTATACAGTAAACCATCTGATTAATACAGGGGTCCCATTAATGGAAAGTCTCATTGCATTAGCACTTTTGTTTGCCTGTTTAAAAGTGTGCTCTTATTTCATCATCACCATTTTATTGCCATTTTCAATACAGTACTTGCATAGTTTAACTGTGATTACCTGATAGCAACTCTCCAAGCTCCCTCTCTCATCAAGTTCTTATCTCTGAGGTCTCATATCACTACTTCTTCAATACTATCTACTATCAACACTAATTCATCTGCATATAGCAACTCCCAGGGCAGACCAATCCTAAAATCTTGCGAAATTGCCTCGAACACCATGATAAACGGAAGGGGGCTGAAGATACACCGTAGATAGACCCTTATTTTAACCTCACATTTCTCTCTTTTTCTTGCCATTTACTCTCGCAGAGGCTCTCAAACTCTCGTACAATGCTATAACCACTTGTACCAGACTCTCCTTGGCCCCAAATTTTTGTATTACCCACTGCACTTCTCCTTTGGATATCTTGCTACATGCCTTCTCTAAGTCTGCATATACAATGGACAGCCTTCAATTCTTCTTCAGACATTTCTCCTGTACAGTAGTTGCCTGGCCATAAATATTGCTTTTATAATCCCCTGCCTGTCACAAACCTAAACTGCTGTTCCTTAATGTCCACTTTCTCCCTTATCAATTTCGTGATCACACTTTCCACAACTTTCATAAACTGATAAAACAGCTTTAGGCACCTGTAGCTTCCACAATCAAGTACTGTACATGTACTGGACATTACATTTTCCCTTGTAAGAATTCACTGTCGTGCTCTCTCAGCCGGTTAGCTGGAACATTACATTTGATCGTAATTGTATTATGAAACTTGGTCCTCATTTGGGAAGTACAGTACTGTATTAATAATCCATTAGTATTATAAACAATTTTAAAACAGTCTTCTGCAGTATACAGTTACATTTTGAAATATAGTAAGTGCATGAAAAGACATCAAAGTCTTAGAAGGCTTGCAACGGCCATACCACTTTGAAAACGCTGCTTCTTATCTAATTACGTACTAAGGCATTTAAACTAAAGGACCCTACTGAAAATAAGCATCTGATGGCTTTGTTGCCTATACAGTATTACCTAAATATAAATTGTTATTATTATTATTACATTATTACTGTTATTATTATTATTATATGACAATGAGAATGTGATGAACCTGTGATGATATTCCAGGAAGAATCTTCACACTTACTGATCACCAATTTGGCCAGTCAATGTTCCTTGCTACTTATTTTTTTAATCACCAGTGTGTCATGTTTCCATGAAACTGAAAGTTGTGTAAAGCTCATAAGATTTTTTCCTCTAATAGCTCTTGGATGCTTTTTTTAAGCTTTGGTTCAGAGTGACCAGCATTAAGTTTTAAGCTACTATAAATAATGTGCAGAATTATACAATGGTGTTGCCCATCCAAATCATGGCTGCTTTGTTTCCAAGATTACTTATTTTGTATGATAATATTTTCCCTTTTCTCTTCACTGTCAGATTTGACTATAATGGACTTGGAAGCTGCAGGGTTGGATGATGATGATGTACCATTGATTGTCCACACAACCTCTACCAAAGACAGAAAATCAACTAGGACACCAGGGAAGACTCGAGAACCACAGTCTCATCGAAAGCGTTCTGCTGGTCAACTAAGGTCTATCCCGACCCTTACCCCTGATGATAAGAAGGCCTTTTACTGTAGTGGCTCTGCTGTAGGACAGCTAAATATTGCTGAAGGTAGTGCTGGTTATGATAGATATTACACTGTACAGGTATTCTATTTTTTTTTTTTTTTAATTTCAAGACTCGTTTTTAACACAAATTACTCAAATTTTAAGATTTTCAATGCATATTCTTAATCAACATGTAAAGGAGTACCTTTGTATGAAATTTGAACTAAATCTATTTTTTTTACCTCATATGCCGAAACGTAAGGTAATAGGTCAGGCGTTTTGGGGGGGATAGAATGCCTTTTTCTTGTGAGTGAAAACTAATGTATTAAAATGGTAAAGATATTCTTTATTACTGAGAAAATATATATACAATTAATTTAAAACTTAAGGGTACATCGTAATTGGCGTTTTAAATACAGTACTGTATATAGTACTGTATACAGGTATGCCTTCATTTATGATAACTTTAAGAAATTTTGATTTTACAGTCATAGAGAACTTTCACCTTTATTTCTAATTGATAGTTTTCATTGTTGGGGTGATGGAAGAAGGTAATTAACCATTAAATCAAAAGAATATGAATATCTCATATGTTCCAAGCAGTTTGATGAAATTGTTTACTAGTCATTGTAATCTTTCAAATCCAGGTCCACATTTTGACAGAACTTTCAAGCAGTTTCTTGCATTTTCTAAGTGGTTTGGATACCCTACTTAGATATGTCAGGAAAGCAACCAGCAAATGAAGTAAACAGCAGCAATATTTCTACTGGAAGGATACCCCCTTTTAAGCCATTACTGTACTTTATGTTAATTGCAGAATAAAGTACCTAAAAAATAATTTAGTGGAGAACAAAACTGTAATTAATTTAATAGTTACCATAGCCATCTGAGATACAGTTGCCCTAAAATTTTACAGAAGGTTGTTGTCTTTTCCCCAACCTCAATGCTCCTTATCTTTTTACTTTTACTTTTATCCTATTTACCACTGATTGGCTCGTTAGCCACTTGGGCAGTCAGGGACATGACCAACTGATACAATAAGCACATGCGCAACAACTGTACAATTAGAGCATGCGCACCAACTGCTTCAGTTGGAGCTAACTGACAGTAGAATACAAGATTCAAATGAACCTTTAAAACTGAACCCAACACCAAACAATAATTACATGAAACTCTGAATTGTAATATAAACTCCTCACAGTTTCACATGCCCCAATTTCCATTAAGTTATAACAATTACTTGCTGCATGAAGTGTAATTAATTATTTTCTCTCCTCTGTCATTCACTTAGGAATATATCTAGCCTCATGTTAAAAGTGAAATCTGGAGATAGTTTCACCCCAGTTTTACAATTTTAAATACAGTATATGTACTTGATAGGATGTTTACCGGTAACCGAAATCTAAGCAGCTCTTCAAATAAGATTGTAACTTGGAGTAGATATCAATATGCAGACCTGAATAACTACAATACAGGCCGTAGATAACCTTCTTACCCTTGATAGACTTAGCCAACATAGGTGAATGAAAAATTTCAGGTGGGTTTAGCTTTTATTAATGTGCATTATAAGTCTACTCAACTGATGTCTCATATCAGTATCTTAACAACCACCCTTTTACTATGTTTGAATTTTGATATAATAATCTGTCTTTTATATTTTTGTTATCTATCTTTTCCCTGTGTTCAGGAGGGGAGATGGAAGGTCAGCGTCTTGTCTATGGGGAACATACAGCAGCCATAACTTTTCTTGCTTTGTCTGTTAATGATCCCAAGATGATTGCCACAGCACAGGTAATGAGTCACATTAACTTTTAGCTTACTGTATTTTCATATAGCTGTGCAGGTACTCTGTATGATGTGTTTATCTGATTCATAAACAGGATTTTGTACACTCAAGGTTGGATGATAAGCACATATTTTCACAATTGCATCAGTTGCACTTGATAATCTCCCATACAGAAGTTTTTTAAAATTTAAACATTTGATTTGACTCTACATAAGTAAGAGACCAACCTAGTAATTGGTGCTTATAAAATACGTATTCATAGAAACCCAAGACAAATTGCTTCAGAATAATTTAGGCATGGCTTTTATACAGACCTTAAATTTGTTATTGACTCAGCATAACGAAAGAAATACCGTACTCCAAAACAACATCCTGTGGTTTATAGCAAGGCATTACCAATAGTAATGTAGGATTCCTTCATTCTTCCTTGCATATATGATTGTGAATACTTACAAGGGTAAAGATAATGCACGTGAACATAGGAACTACAGGGCCTGAATTTATAAGATCAGGTCATGAAAGTTGTTGAAGGAGTAATTGAGAAATTGATAAGGGATGTAAATAAGATGTAGTTTGGGCTTGTCAGGTAGAAGGCTATAGAGCCAATATTTATGGCCAGTCTGGGGAAGGAGAGACAGCTGTAGTTGTAGACTTTGAGAAGGGATTTGATTGGATACCACGTGAAGTAGGCAATGAGAAAGCTAGCGGTCGAGGAGTGTCTTGTTTGAGTGGTTATGGCGTTATATGGGGAGGAATGTGAAGAATTTGAGATGAAAGTAGGGATTCATCAGGGGTCTGTCTTTTCTGTTTATCATGGCGCTGGAGGCAATATCACAGGACTATAGGACTAGTCTGCCCGGGAATTGTTGTATGTTGATGACTTAGTGTTAATAGCTGATAGTATTGAAGTGACAGCAGAGTAATTTAAGAAATGAAAGGAGGGAATAGTCAAAGGGGTTAGAGTGAATTTGTCTTAACAAAAGTATTGATTTGAGATAAGGATGCTCTGAAGAACTGTCCATCTCAGCTCCAGAGAAATTGGACAAAGATTGTACAGAAAATGACTGGCCACAGGTGCCAGAACATGAAGAAATTGACTGTTCTATCATAGGTCATAGTTGAAACCTCACCCAAGCCCCAGAGTATATTTTAAGCACATTACAAATTTTAAAAGGGGAAATATAATCTTTCACATGACAAGATATTAATTTAATGTTTATTTTATGTAACTTATAGTTGGGAATGGAAGGAGATGTCTCGGAGGACAACGTAGAAAATTTTGCCTTGGTACATGTTTGGCGGCCAAGTGACGGAACCAATGTAGCCGTGCTGAGAGGTGGCAAAGAGACCATTATCACTGCCCTCAGCTTCTCACCTAGTGGCAGGTTCCTGGCTTCTCTGGCTGATGCTTCTACAGTACATGTCTTTAATTGGATTAAAGGTAATAACACAATGGCAAATACTGTACCTAAATGACTGTTTACTGGGGATAGAATCAATGGCATACCCAGAAACACACCGAGGTACAATTTGAAATACGAGATAATTAATATTATTCTGTACGTTCATGATGAGCTTACTGTTCAGCAAGTGATGATATTTTTATTATTTTTTATCATTATTATTATTTTATCTTTTACTCGCATGTAATATGTGGTAAATAAATAAAAGGAAATATTCTTTACTCTTAAATTTAATATACAGTGGGCCCTCGGTTAACGAGCACAATTCGTTCCAGAAGGTTGCTCGTTAACCGAAACCATTGTTTCAATGGGTTTTTGGGTAATTGGTTCCAGCTCACTGAAAATTGCCTAAGATCAACAAAAAAGGTAGTAAAGTACACTTACTTTGAGGTGTGTATGTAGAAGGCTCCTGGCTGATGATGATGATGGGAATTAGAATGGGGGTGGAGGAGAAGGGAGAAGAGAAGGCATTGGGGTGGAAGAGAAGTCACCCCATGGTGCCATTTCACCCATAAAATTGTAGTTCTCTTGGTGTAATTCAAGATTATTTTCTTTAAATCAACACTGCACTGCATTATATATTGTCAATATGTAAAATAAATTTCAAATTGACCAATAATTTGCTTGGAAACCCTGAAAAAAAACATTTAGTTGAAGAGAGTCTCCAGCAAGATTTTACCTCCACTGAAAAGACACAGAGACTGACGCCTGTATGGTGTGTTGACAGGCTGTTTGGCGCGCAAAAAACTAGCTTCCTATACTTCAATTATGTTCAATAATTGTTAAAATGACTAAAAAATTTAATATAAAACTTTTAAATTATTGAATAGTACAAACTTCTTGATATTTACTAAAATAATAATGAATTTAAGCCATAGAACCGATTACTGTATTGGCAGACTAATACTACAGCTGGTGGACCGCCAAATGCAAGCGAAAACATGTGGAGGGGCGCTCGTTAAAAACTCGTTAATCGAGGGATTGCTCGTTAACGGAGGTTAAGAATCTCATGGAAGGTAAATCGTTAACCGAAATCTTGTTAACCGAGGCGCTCGTTAACCGAGGGATCACTGTACAGTACTAATTTTGTACATTAAAAATGGGAAGGTCAGGGGCTGAAATTTTTTGAGGGAGATGATGAAGGCACAAGGCATCATAGATAGACTCTGTGTTGATTAAAAAAAGAATGTGGCTTAAAAGGTCCACTTATGAAGGAAGGTACCTAGTTGTATATTTTGATAGGCTGCAAATACATGTCAGATGGCTGAGATAGGGGTAGCCAAATAGGAGTGTCATGTACTGTAGTGTACCATTAAAGAGGTGTATTTTGTGTTCATAATCTAAACTGTATTGCAGGTGCACACATTGCTCACAGTGAACTGAAGGTAGGGATGGTGACAGCAATGGCTCATACTGGTGAGACAACTTTAGCAGTGCTTACACCTCGGACTGTTCTCTTTCTGGACTTGGTGGGCAACTCATTGATAACGACGCGAGGCCATGCATCCCCAGATCTTCTCCCAGATGATGCTGCCTTTAATGGCTTAGGTGTATCTCCAGTACGTATAAGTCGGTTTAGTACATTACATATTAGAAAGTGATGACAGGTGTAAAATAACATGAAAATTTGATAACATCATTATGGAGGAATGGTTTACTATATTATAATATTGATACAGTATTATATTTAACTCTTTTTACATAAGAAATCACAAGGGTTGTGGAAATATCAAATTGGTCTAATTTGTCTTGGAAATAAAGAAAATATACAGTAATATGAATATCACTTCAGTGCTCCAATGTGACTTAGAAATAAAGACAATATAATACAGGATTTAAAACTTTAAAATAAGAAAAATGAAAAGCAGTAAGTGTATTGTTTGTGGACTGCGCGCAGTGCACATACCCTCCCATGTTCCCAAGCTGACCGCACTGCTCCCACCTCATTAATACATTATGCAATCTCACCACATTTCCCATATTACTTAGGTTTCTTTGGTATCAGGTTAATAAGACATTATTTTAAAATAATAAATTGTCACAAAATAAAATTGCACTCGATCCCAGATGAGTTATTGTGTGGTATTAAATTCATGGTTATTTGGTAACCCACACAAAATTATGAGAAGGAAAAAAGCTATTTATGTAGTATAGAACTACTCTTTGCACAATATCTATGTGTTAGTGTGATTATGGGGGATTATGGTTGATTTTTAGTGTGTATTAAAGCAGTTTTGAAACTGTTTATGGGTATTTCTTGGCCTCTGGAACCAAGGTAATTATTTCCATTTAAATCACATAATCCATGATTGCCGATATGATAATTCACGATGTCTTTGGGTACCTAACCGACGAATTATATAGACTCCACTGTACAATTGACATTTAGTTATCCTCAACAAATCATTTTATAGATTCTGTAACCTAAAAGTATTTATAATAAAAATTTTGCAGAATGGTCGTGTGTATGTAGGTTGCAGTGATGGCAGTGTTGTAGAGTGGAAAGGCCGCATAGCAACACGTCGCATAATGGCGCCAGATGAACCACCTATCATATCCCCTGTACGAATGTCCATTGCCGTGGGTCAGGGTGCCGTTTTTACAGCATGCAGGTACAGTTAAGTGTTCAAGTGTATCTACAGTAGAGTAATGCAAGTACTGTATTTAAGATATACATTACAGTACTATATTTAGAGAAATATATGAATATCCCCCCACCACTCGTTGTCTATGTATCCATCAACCTTACTCCATTTTCTGTAGAAGTAGAGTATCAAAGATGCGATTCTGCATTTGGCCTCTTAACCACCTCATATCTCAAGAACAAAGGGGGCACCGTTAAAAAATTCCTAACATTCTGTCACCACTGGACTATGATCATACACAATTCTTGAGTAAAAAAATCAACCTTGGCTCACATGAAGGGGTGGGAAGTTTAATGTTTCTAGTGATCAGTTGACCATAATCTGCTCCCTCTCACTCTCGTAGCTGTTTTCTTGATATGCCTATACAGTATTACCTTTATTGTTTGTCATGTTCTTTGTTCTGCACACCGTTCACAAAATCAAAATTCCCAGTTATTTTCATTCCTTGTTGTAGCCACTCTAATATTGCACATTTATTTAAAATGGAAGTATTACAGGTAGTCCCCTACTTACTAACATAATTGGTTACAGAGATATGCTTGTAAGTTCATTTGGTTGTAAATCCAAATTCACTTCTATGGCTTGCAAACAATTTGGCAAATGTGAAAATTACCTTATGTACAGCACACCCACAGTACAGTAAACGTGAGGAATAAATAAAATAAAATAAAATATATTGCTTTGTCATTTGCGAATAGTTTCACTACACATGGGACACAAGACTGCAAACAGCTGAAAGATCCCCCAAGTCACTCCCCCCTTCCCTCCCACCTCTATGTGATACCTACTGTACATGTAAGAAATATTTATCCCAGGTATGGGCAATCTTTCCTCGGTCATTATGATTTAGGTATTTTTCTGCGGGCCTACCCACAAAAATTTATATCCTACCTAACCCAAAAGTAATGTTAATATTGTACAGGGGGTCCCCAAATTCACGGGGGTTTAGGTTCTCAAATTGGCCGCAAATCGCCAAATCCGCGAATAACATTTACTGACCGGCGGGGGTACATTTTTACTTGTGTACAAAGAAATGTGGACTGTTTTCCCTTTATGTGTTTGCCCTTAGGAAAATTATTTCTTTTTCCTGTATTGTATATTTGTGTGTGTGTGTGTGTAGACACACACACACAAAACACATAATGTACAAATAATCAGAAAAAAATTATTAAAAATGTGAGTCTACCCTCAAGTCCATGCTTTATTAATAAAATAATAAAGCACGGACTTGAGGGTAGACTCACATTTTTAATAAATTTGTTTCTGATTATTTGTGAGAGGATTTTGTAATTATTATTTATTTGTAGTGTTTTGTGAGTTTGTCTACACACACACACACACACATAAGGAAATTACTGTCTCTAGAACAAATGGCTCCCTGTCCCAGCCGTGAAAATGCCGGCAACTTTAAAACTACCTACAGACATTCTTGGGTACATCCAGGGTGTCATCCCCTGTATTAGCACGGACAGTGAAGCTGTTTATCCTCACGTCCACCTTACAATATTTTCAGTTTACATTCACAGTCTTTTTCTCATTTATGAAACAAATCCATCATGATAATTTTTTAAGTAATATGTTAAAGTTTCACCATTTTAGTACAATACACCTTTTCAGGCTGAAAGACTCAGTACAAACATCATTTTTCTTTAATTGTAACTTCTAAGTTTATTCCTATAGAATTAGCTTCCCTACTATCCCATGCAAGAGTGGAAAATGGCTGTAAAATAATAATGGCTATGACAAGTACAGTATATCCTATCTTATCCTATTCTACACTTTTAATATATGTACTGTACTCAAATACTCTTAATAATAATTTGCATCTCACTGTTTCCTTGACAGATTGGGCTCGATAATCGTCGTTCGGTGTTACACAACAGATGATGATGAGCTGCATTTCTTCTCAGATTCTAAAATTGCCACACCAGAAGAAAATTGGATACCTGTCTCAGCCAGACTAGGAGGAGCTATGCTCATTCTTGGTGCTCGAAGAAATCAGCCATTGATTATTTTAGATCTGAAGTCAGGAAAATTTACTCTAATAGATCAGGGATGAAACAGTAAAACACTATAGTTTTAACTTCTGATCGACATTGATCTTTTGCAGTAGTGCCATAGATGCTATATAATGGACAATATATTTAACACATTCTGTATATATATATACCGTACTTATCTTGATGTGATATTGTATATTAATAAAGACCTAATTGAGGTGTATAAGCATCTCGAGGGGCAGTACTCAGTCGAGCGTCCTAACTTGGAGCTGGCGGACGCTCACCCCACAAGGGGTCACAGCTCAAGATTGAAGAAGCCGCAAGTCCAGAAAACTGTGAGGGCAAACTTTTTCGGAGTGAGAGTTGTGAACACTTGGAACAATCTACCAGAAAGTGTTGTGATGGCACCGAGTGTGAGCTCTTTCAAGACCAGACTTGACCAACACTGGAGCAGGTTCAGGTACATTCAGGAGCCGGTGCATGCCCAGTACTTGCCAACAGTGTGCAACAGAGATGTGACCGATTACCCAAGCGGCTAACGAGCTGATCAGTGGTGAAGAGGATAAAAGTAAAATTATACTGTATGTAGTGATGCAAGTGCTGTTTAAATCATTTAATTGCAGTTAATGCTTCTTCAATACAGGCAATTACAAGTGGCTGTACAGTTTATGCAACTTTTTAAATTATGAATTGAATACTTCAACAGCTAGTATAGTGTATTATATGAATTGGTAGTTATTATAAATGTTATAATAAAGTATTAAAAAGACAACAAGCAGTTGTTTTATACTAATAATTTGTATTGTATCTTGCACAAGTTGAGTACCATATGGTTTACAGTAATACGTACCAATTCTTCTTTTTCATAATACCAGACCACTATTAATGTGATTTCTCTGGGTTTTTTTCCAGTTTTCCTTTTTACCATTGCTTAAGGTGACCCACGTGATTTTTTTATTTTTATTTTTATTTTTTTATTGGGCACCCCCATACATCCTTGTGTAAGGTGAAGTGCAGAAGCGTTTTAAATTTTTGGCATTTCGTCCAAAAAATTAGATTTTGTTCAAAATCTCAGTATAAGTACTCCTGAACATGCTGCTTAAGGATCTGTTAACCAAAATTTTATATCTGGATTATTGCTTGTTGAAATGATTTTTAGAACATTTTAATTACTTTTGCAAAGCTAATTACTCACCACTTATGGGTTTTTTAGGTCATTTCTTGGTGCTAGTGTATTATTGTGGATGTACTTAAATAGTTAGGCACATTATATTTTAGTTCTGAGAGAAAAGGTATTTTTGGCCAAAAATCCTGTAAGGGGTAAGCCTTACAATTTCGTTCAAAAAATAGATTTTGTTCAAAATCTCAGTATAGGTACTCCTGAACATGCTGCTTAAGGATCTGTTAACCAAAATTTGATATCTGAATTATTGCTTGTTCAAATGATTTTTAGAACATTTTAATTACTTTTGCAAAGCTAATTACTCGCCACTTATGGGTTTTTGAGGTCATTTCTTGGTGCTTGTGTATTATTCTGGTTGTACTTAATTAGTTAGGCACATTATATTTTATTTCTGAGAGAAAAAGTATTTTTGGCCAAAAATCCTGTAAGGGGTAAGCCTTACAATTTCATTCAAAAAATAGATTTTGTTCAAAATCTCAGTATAGGTACTCCTGAACATGCTGCTTAAGGATCTGTTAACCAAAATTTGATATCTGGATTATTGCTTGTTTAAATGATTTTTAGAAAATTTTAATTACTTTTGCAATGCTAATTACTCGCCACTTATGGGTTTTCGAGGTCATTTCTTGGTACTTGTGTATTATTCTGGTTGTACTTAATTAGTTAGGCACATTATATTTTATTTCTGAGAGAAAAAGTATTTTTGGCCAAAAATACTGTAAGGGGTAAGCCTTACAATTTCGTCCAAAATCTCAGTATAGGTACTCCTGAACATGCTGCTTAAGGATCTGTTAACCAAAATTTGATATCTGGATTATTGCTTGTTCAAATGATTTTTAGATCATTTTAATTACTTTTGCAAAGCTAATTACTCGCCACTTATGGGTTTTTGAGGTCATTTCTTGGTGCTAGTGTATTATTGTGGATGTACTTAAATAGTTAGGCACATTATATTTTAGTTCTGAGAGAAAAGGTATTTTTGGCCAAAAATCCTGTAAGGGGTAAGCCTTACAATTTTGTTCAAAAAATAGATTTTGTTCAAAATCTCAGTATAGGTACTCCTGAACATGCTGCTTAAGGATCTGTTAACCAAAATTTGATATCTGGATTATTGCTTGTTTAAATGATTTTTAGAATATTTTAATTACTTTTGCAATGCTAATTACTCGCCACTTATGGGTTTTCGAGGTCATTTCTTGGTGCTTGTGTATTATTCTGGTTGTACTTAATTAGTTAGGCACATTATATTTTAGTTCTGAGAAAAAAAGGTATTTTTGGCCAAAAATACTGTAAGGGGTAAACCTTACAATTTCGTCCAAAAATTAAATTTTGTTCAAAATCTCAGTATAGGTACTCCTGAACATGCTGCTTAAGGATCTGTTAACCAAAATTTTATATCTGGATTATTGCTTGTTCAAATGATTTTTAGAACATTTTAATTACTTTTGCAAAGCTAATTACTCGCCACATGGGTTTTTGAGGTCATTTCTTGGTGCTTGTGTATTATTCTGGTTGTACTTAATTAGTTAGGCACATTATATTTTATTTCTGAGAGAAAAAGTATTTTTGGCCAAAAATCCTGTAAGGGGTAAGCCTTACAATTTCATTCAAAAAATAGATTTTGTTCAAAATCTCAGTATAGGTACTCCTGAACATGCTGCTTAAGGATCTGTTAACCAAAATTTGATATCTGGATTATTGCTTGTTTAAATGATTTTTAGAAAATTTTAATTACTTTTGCAATGCTAATTACTCGCCACTTATGGGTTTTCGAGGTCATTTCTTGGTACTTGTGTATTATTCTGGTTGTACTTAATTAGTTAGGCACATTATATTTTATTTCTGAGAGAAAAAGTATTTTTGGCCAAAAATCTTACCCTATTCTGGGACGGAATCCTCCTGTCTTCTGGGGCGGAATCCTACAGTATTTTGAGGTGGAATTCTACTGTCTCCTGGGCCAGAATCCTACCCTATTCTGGGTCAGAATCCTACCTAACCTAACCTAACATATTTGGACCTAACCTAACCAACAAAACAAAAATTAGAAAACAATAAAATAATAAAAAAAAATATATGAGTTATCCATCAGATTAAATAGGTTTTCTTTGATTCTCCAACAAAGAAAACTGCCTGACTTGTCTTCTTGTGACAGACTATATTCACAAGATGTGAAAGTGCTTCTTTGGAACACTAGGACCATAAATCCTACAGTATTTTAGGCGGAATCATCTTGTAGTGGAATTCTCCCCTACAAACGCTGTTTGTCGCTGCCTAGCCGACCCCACCAATTCCCCAGTGTATGCCTCGTGGTCTAGGTCAACCAGCGCCGCCATACACCACGGAGCGGGGGTCAACTGCTAAGCCACGCCTACCCCCGCTATTTAAGACCTGACCTCGTGGTGATCTCTCTCTCTACCTACACCAACCAGCCAGCAACACCTCCTCCTGCCTGGCGGCCCTCCCTCCTCCGCCTGCCTGGCGGTCGTCTCTCCCGCTGGCGAGCATGGCGACCCACAAGCTGTCCTTCTCTGAGCGTCCTCACCAACCAGCTCTCTCTACATCACGCTTGTAACCATGCTGCCTTCCCAGCACCAAGCTGCATTGTACATCCAATACAACATGTATATAGAGAGCACATTGTGAGTTTCCTTTCTCCATCCCATCCTGAGTGTGAACCAAACAATATCAAACCCCACAAATGGTGACTCCCGGAGTGACCACTCACACAGGATGGAGGAGAAACTGATCACGCTCCCAGTCTTCAAGCAACATGGAAGACTGGCTTATCCACCCAGAAGCAGCTCTCATCGGCTCTACAGCTACTGTCTCTACACCGCAGGTTAGACACCATAGAGCAGCTCTGCTACTCTAAGCAGACACCAGCTCCTCTTCCTGCCCCAAGCACCACGTCCTACCAACCCCAGCACACCCGTCCTGCCTCAGACGCCGACCCCGGCCCAGCAGTAACCCCTGCCGCCCCTGATGCGGCCTCTGTTCCTGAGTGCGGACCCACACACCCCTCTTTTCTCCCTCAGGTACTCCCTGCTAATGTCCTGCACCCTGCTGCTGTCGTGGACCCAGCTGCTGTCACGAGCCCTCATCCGCTGCTGCTGACACAGCCCTTGCTCCTGACCCAGGTCCACACACCCCAGCAGGCGCATCTGTCGACTCTGTACCTGCCGTGAGGGAAGCACAACATTCATCGCCTCCACACACCCTTATTCTCCCTCTCTACTCCCACAGATATTGTGTATCTAGACAGTTGTATCCAGCGACCGGCTCATCACGCCATCGCCGTTGTCTCACATGAGGCACGCACCGCCCGTTCTGCCTCACATGTGCTATGCAACTCTGCAGACAACAAGTCTCCTACACAGCCTGGAGGGAAGGGGGAGTATTGTAGTGGAATTCTCCCCTACAAACGCTGTTTGTCGCTGCCTAGCCGACCCCACCAATTCCCCAGTGTATGCCTCGTGGTCTAGGTCAACCAGCGCCGCCATACACCACGGAGCGGGGGTCAACTGCTAAGCCACGCCTACCCCCGCTATTTAAGACCTGACCTCGTGGTGATCTCTCTCTCTACCTACACCAACCAGCCAGCAACACCTCCTCCTGCCTGGCGGCCCTCCCTCCTCCGCCTGCCTGGCGGTCGTCTCTCCCGCTGGCGAGCATGGCGACCCACAAGCTGTCCTTCTCTGAGCGTCCTCACCAACCAGCTCTCTCTACATCACGCTTGTAACCATGCTGCCTTCCCAGCACCAAGCTGCATTGTACATCCAATACAACATGTATATAGAGAGCACATTGTGAGTTTCCTTTCTCCATCCCATCCTGAGTGTGAACCAAACAATATCAAACCCCACAATCTCCTATTCTGGGGAGGAATTCTACCGTATTCTGAGGTGGAATACTACCGTCTCCTGGGGCAGAATCCTGCCGTCTCCTGGGGCGAAATCCTACCGTCTTCTGGGTGGGCCAGGTGCAACAGGGTGAGCCAGGGTGAACCAGTGGGGGCCAGGTGATACAACTTTCCCGGAAAGTAGATATTTCCTATTTTCTATGATACAAATTTCCCGTTTTCTATGATAAGTAGATAACCAACTCTCCCAGAAAGTAGAAATATTTCACATTTTCTGTGATACAAATTTCCCGTTTTCTATGATAATCTACTTAGGAAAATATG